CTGGTGATCCTTCTGCCTCAGCCTTCCAAGTAGCTGGAACTACAGGTGCGTGCTACCACGCCTGGCTAATTTTTTTGATTTATTGTAGAGGTGAGGTCTCACCAAGTTTCCCAGGTGTGTCTTGAACCTGCGGGCGCAGGCAATCCACTCACCTCAGCCTCCCAAAGGCACGGGATTACAGGCTGAGCCATCGAGCCTGGCTTCATATTGGTTTTCTAATGCTGCTGAAGTCACTCACCATACACATAATGGCTTGAAACAACACAAATTTATTCGTTCGTACAGAGATCTGTACAGAGATCTAAAAAGGATCCGCAGGACTACACTGCTTTTGGAAGCCCTGGGGGAATGAATCATTTCCTGGCCTTTTCTACCTTTCAAAGACTCACTCCATTCCTTGGCTTATGGCCCCATCCTCTGTGTTCAAAGCAAGCAATGTAGCCTCCTCCAATCAGCTCCTCTCTTGCTTGCTCTTATTCCCCATTTGTTGTCATGACACCTTTTCTCTATCTCTGATCCTCCTACCTCCCTCTTATAAGGACCCCTGTGATTGCATAGAACCCACCTGGACAATCCAAGATCATCTCCTCTCAAAATTAATCATAACTACAAAGTCCCTTTTGCCATATAAAGTAACAGCTCACCACAAAATCAGACAACAACTCGGAGCCTTTGGGGAAGTGGCCTTCAGCACAGATCTGCCAATCAGGTTGCTGATGGAGAGACAAAGGATTTTAAAAGCCCCTCACTTGGGGACAGGCTGGGAAGAATGCGCATCTGGGAAAGCCCAGGAGAACTCACTGGGACAGGTCATCCAGTGGGGAAAGTAGCTCTTCTCAGGCTTATGGGGTTTCACACACTCCCAGCCCATGTTAAGGGTCTGCGTTTGATGCCCAGACACGGCCTGCTTGAGATTCCAGCTAAGCATTCGATGTCTAAAAAAGGAGCTCAAGAGTGAGGGAGTCATCAGAGCAATGGAAGAGCAGGTGTTGGAGGACTTGGTGGAATCTCAGCTCTGTCACTTCCTGGTCGAGTGACTTGTGCCATTCCTTTCCCTCTTTTTGAGCCTTGTATGTTTCCCTTTGTACAATAGTGAACTATGGTCCCCACTTTTGATGGGGTTTGAAGACTGAATGAGAACGTGGAAAGAACTTCAGAGCCCGTGTTAGGTGTATCCCATGGTGCCAGCCTTGGGGAAGAGGAGTGTGACGCGGGGTTGCAAAGGCCTCAAGAAATCACCAGGCAGGTAACAAGGTAGCGCACACATCAGGTGTTGAGGGTTGGGCTGCTGCAGACTAGGGTTGTCTGGAGGACTGGAGACTTCAGCTGAGTCTGGAAGGAGAGGTGGGATTAAAAAAGAGAAGAGCCTGTGGGGAGAAGGGCATTTAGGCAGCAGGGATAATAAGAACCAAAGGTCAGAGGCCGAACATCCCTGGCGTGTTGGGAAGACAAAAAGATCTCATGGCTGTTGGGGAGAGTGGAAGGGTAGGAAGAGGCAAGAGGGCCACTGTAGGTGTTTAATAAAAAATATGCTGTACTCTGCGTAACAGTTTAGGGTCACATACCTGCTCGTTTGCTTTTTTTAAATTTCTTTCTCTCCCACTGGATTCTAAGCCACCTGAGAGCAGGGATTGTTGTCAGGTTGTTTCCCATTGTATCTACAGAGCCTGGTGGGCGGGCATTCAGTAAATATTTGTTGAATGAATAAACAAATGACCAAATAACCATATTGAATGCCACATTTTGCAGTATTAATATTAGGTCCTTGAAAAGTATCAGAGAAGGTGGTGTTCTCAGAAGATTGATCCAGCTTTGCTATGTGGGACAGGCAGGAGGGCAGGGAGAGGTCAGGCAGGAGAAGAAGGGTCCCAGAGTGGGATCCTGGGAGGCTCAGCCACAGCAGAGGGGAGGGTGGGGCAGAAGGGAACAGGAGGTGGGAGGGATTAGCAGGGAAGCTTACAAGAACTTGGGGGTTAATGTGGCAGAGGGGAGGGAGAAAGAATGAAGAGAGGGTCAGGAATGACTCTTGGGGATCCCGGATGACAAGAAGAATTACTGTATATGTTTTTTCATGGAGGAAAATTTTGGATCCCATTGGGAGACTGAAGTGGAAAGGTCTCTTGAGCCCAGACATTTGAGACCAGCCCGAGCAACATAGTGGACTCACATCTCTACAAAAATGTTTTTTTAATTAGCTGGGCATGGTGGCATGTGTCTGTAATCCCAGTGACTTGGGAGGCTGAGGCAGGAATATCACTTGAACCCAGGAGATCAAGGCTGCAGTGAGCCGGGATCGTACCACTGCACTCCAGTCTGGGCAACAGAATGAGAACCTTTCTCTAAAAAGAAAAGAAAATTTGGGCACATTTTCTCTGTGCCAGGCACTGTGCTAGTTGATGGACATCCAGGGCATAATTTCCACTATTCTATATATAAGAACAACAATTCTGGAGGGAGGAGGAGGCTAGTTTGGGTCTGTGCCTTAAGTAATGAGGTGATCAGGAAATGCTGGGGGAGGTACAGGGTATAAGGTTTAGGGGTCCACAGGCTGCATCTTCTGTTGTGAAATTGAGCCCTTGGGAACAAAAAGATATCCTGAGAAGTGTAGCTAGCAGGCCACAAGGCTGGGGTTCCTGCTTCCATCCCGTTCTCTCTACCCTCATTTCTCTGTGTTTATACGTCACTTCCTCTAGGAGCTCCCTCAGGCCCAAGGACTTAGATTCCAGTCTCTGCTGTGCCCTCCCATGTGACCATGTCCTGCCTCAGTCATGACTCTGATTTCCCCCCGCCAGTGTCTTTATCCTCCCTTCCACGTCAAACTGCCCAACAAGCATAGGGCAAGCCCCTTGTATATTACTCACCATTGTAAGGTTGGCTCAGTTGACGGATAGGTGGATGGATTGACAGGTAGATGGATGGGTAGATCGATGGATGGATGGATGGGTGAATATCAAATGAGGAAATGTGGAAAAAAGGTCAAGGGAAGCAAAGCAGGATGTTAGCAGTAGGAATATGAGTGATTGTTTTTCCTTTTATATTTCTGTATATTCCATATTTTGTATAATAATATCAGACTTTTATCCTCCATGAAAGTGTTAGTTAAAAGAAAAGAGACAAGCCACTCGGGATTTTGGCCTCCTTTCTCATGAGCTGTTGACTTTTGGTTTGCTTTCCTACAGGTGGAAGCAGGGAAAGGCCTGGAGATGAGAAAGCTGGTTCTCTCGGGGTTCCTGGCCAGCGAAGAGATCTACATTAACCAGCTGGAAGCGTTGTTGCTGGTGAGTACATACCCTGAGGCCTTTTGGTCCCCTTGTCAGACAGTGGCATGCTCTAAAACTGCTTTTTGGCCGGCATGATGATCCCTGTAATCCCAGCAATTTGGAAAGCTGAGGCAGGAGAATCACTTGAGGCCAGGTGTTCAACACTGGCCTCAGCAACATAGCAAGACTGTCTCTACAAAAAATTTAAAAATTAGCTGAGCACCATGGCTTAGGTCTGTATTTCTGGTTATTTAGGAGGCTGAGGCAGGAGGTCAGGGCTGCAGGAAGCTATGATCACACCACTGCATCTGGTCTGGTCAACAGAGCAGGACCCTGTCTCTAAAAAAATAAAAATAGGCTAGGCTCAGTGGCTCAGCCTGTAATCCCAGCACTTTGGGAGGCTGAGGCGAGTGAATTGCCTGAACCCGCAGGTTCGAGACCAGCCTGGGCAACTTGGTGAGACCTCGTCTCTACAATAAATCAAAAATTAGCCGTGCATGGTAGCGTGCGCCTGTAGTTCCAGCTATTGGAAGGCTGAGGCAGAAGGATCGCCGGAGCCAAGCAGGTCGACACTTGGGTGACCGTGAGCGTGCCACTGCGCTCTAGCCTGGGCAACGGAGTGAGACTCCAACTCAAGTAAATAACTAAATAAATAACTGCTTTTGGAGTTGGAGAGGAAAGGGGACCTGCACCAGTCCTTCTCTGTGGACAGAGTCTGTGGCTGCTGTACTTATAGCTGGGCATCAGGCAGCCTAAGTTACTGCCAGAAAGGGCTCGTGCCTCTGAGCTCCAGCTCTCTATTACCTGCTCTGAAAAAGGCAGGAGAAGAAGCACCATCAGGTTAGGGATGGCAAACATACCTATTGCTCAGGACCATGGTGTAGGCTTTACTAATCCATCACATTATTCCATCCAGGTAGAGGCCTGGTGCCTCCTCCACACTGTGTTCTGGCCAGTTTCTATCAATCAATCAAATTGAGCCCTTTTTCTCATCCTTTGTGCAAGTACTTCCTCCTCCCTGGGAAAGTAAACCATTAGCACCATCCTGAGGCCCTGTGTCAGGAACTGTGAGGTGGGAGGTTGTCTGTGTTGTTCTGAGGCATTAGACCAGCCTCAACTCTCGGTAAAGATGCCTCAGTTTCCTTTCCAAGATGAAGGCTTTGTTGTGAGAATCAAACTGAGAAGGGAATATGAAAACGTTTTTGAAGCCGGGCTCGGTGGCTCAGCCTATAATCCCGTGCCTTTGGGAGGCTGAGGTGAGTGGATTGCCTGAGCCCGCGGGTTCGAGACCCATCTGGGTAGCGAGACTTCATCTCTACAATAAATCAAAAAATCAGTCGAGTATGGTAGCGCATGCCTGTAATTCCGGCTACTTGGAAGGCTGAGGTGGAAGGATCGCCGGAGCCCAGCAGGTCGAGGCTGCGGTGGCCAGGAACGGCCACTGCATTCCAGTCTGAGCGACAGAGTGAGACTCCAATTCAAAAAAAGAAAACATTTTTTAAAGTTAAAGGTACTACACAAATGCAAGATGCTTTTCCCTTTGAAGAAAGTGCTAATTAGATGCGCCTGGATGTTATGCAGAGTATGGTATATAGAGTTCTTTCCTCTGGGTGTTTTGCTGCCTGAGACATAGGCAATCATCAGAAAAGGGGGGAATAAGAAATGTAAGTGAAGGGCCGGTAGTAGATTGGTGGTGGTGACCGTGGCAGTGGCTTTGGCAGCTCGGGACTGAGTGCAAGTAACATAGAATCACCATGGTTCTTCAGAGGCTCTTCAGATTCTCCTCTGTCATTCAGTCAGCAATCTCAGTCCATTTGCAGAGGAACATTGGTGTTACAGCAGTGGCATTTAATAAGGAACTTGAGCCTGTACAGAAACTCTTCATGGACAAGATTAGAGAATACAAATCTAAGAGACAGGCATCTGGAAGACCCATTGATACTGACCCAGAGTATCAGCAAGACCTAGAAAGGGAGCTGTTTAAGCTTAAGCAAATGTATGGTAAAGGAGACATGAATACGTTCCCTACCTTCAAATTTGAAGAGCCCAAATTTGAAGTCATTGATAAACCTCAGGCCTGAAGAAATTAAAATTAATCATGGATTAGTTGTATAACTAGTCAGAAATTTCAGGAAAAAAAAACATACATTTCACAATTCCAAATAAATTATTTGGTGATGTTGAAAAAAAAAGAAAGAAAGAAATGTAAGTTAGCCAGGCGTGATGGCTCACGCCTGTAATCCCAGCACTTTGGGAAGTGGAGGCAAGAGGATTGCCTGAACTCAGGGGTTTGAGACCAGTCTGGGCAACTTGGTGAGACCTCCTCTCTACAATAAATAAAAAAAATTTGTCAGGCGTGGTGGCTTCTTGGAAGGCTGAGAGAGAAGGATCACCTGAGCCCAGCAGGTTGAGGCTGCAGTGGCCGTGAGCGTGCCACTGCACTCCAGCCTGGGCAACAGAGTGAGACTCTTGATTTTTTAAAAAAAGAAATGTAAGTGTAGATCAGGGGAAGCTCATTCTTACAAGAATTATAAGATATACATTTATATACTTGCCATGACATGAGATGTTGTCACTCATTGTCCCAGGGGTCTTGGCATTTATTACCCAAGGAATGACTATTGAAATGTGAAGATACAGGCTGGGCCCGGTGGCTTCAGCCTGTAAGTCCAGCACTTTGGGAGGCGGAGGTGAGAGGATTGCCTGAGTTCAGAGGGTCGAGACCAGCCTAGGCAACTTGGTGAGACCTCGTCTCTACAATAAATCAAAAAATAAGCTGGGCGTGGTAGCACGCGCCTGTAGTTCCAGCTACTTGGAAGGCTGAGGTGGAAGGATCACCTGAGTCCAGCAGGTCGAGGCTGCAGTGGCCATGAGCATGCCATTGCACTCCAGTCTGGGCAACAGAGTGAGACTCTAACTCAAAAAAAAAAAAAAGAAAAAAATGTGAAGATACATTGCCATGCCCTGGACTGAGTGTGTAAGGTCTCTGTGGGAGTTTATCAGTATGCACGGTAGTGTTTTCCAAGTGAGGGCGAGTGTGACAGGTAGATGAGGCTCCTGATCTGGGGCCAGAACTAGGGCAAGACTTGAGTGCTATTAATAGAAGGCTTAGCCGGACTCAGTGACTCAGCCTGTAATCCTGCGCTTTGGGAGGCTGAAGTGAGTGGATTGCCTGAGGCTGCAGGTTCGAGACCCGCCTGGGCAACTTGGCGAGACCTCATCTCTACAATAAATCATAGCGCGCGCGTATAGTTCTAGCTACTTGGTAGGCTGAGGCAGAAGGATCGCCGGAGCACAGCAGGTCGAGGCTGCAGTGGCCGGGAGCGGCCACTGCACTCCAGTTTGGGTGATAGAGTGAGACTCCAACCGAAAAAAAAAAAAAAAAAAAGAAGGCTTATTGCACTATTTCTCAAACTGTGTGTCTCAGCCTATGAGTGGGTTGTGAAATCATTGTAGTGGGTTGTGAAACCAGTGTAGAAGGTTGAACCAGCATTTTAAAACAAATGAAAAAGAAAATATCAGTGTGTAAATCACATGTGGAAAGGATAAGTACTGTTGCGCAGAACTTATGGTTGTTATATGTATATGTGTGTATGCATACATGTATAGGTATGAAATTTCTGGGCCCCATTATTTCTTATATGTGTTGTGAGTTTGAAAACCACTGACTTTAGGCAAGCTATGCATAAACTCCTTGACCCTTAGTTTCTGCATCTGAAGATAAGGAAAATACCATCCCTTCTCTCCCTCCATGGGTTGATAAGACTGGGTGACCCTTTTGGTATCTAGTACAATGTTGGGTGCTTAAGACACTCAAATATTAGGTAGACTACCAGTCAGACATGTGTGAACCATGCCTTAAAAACTGAATTGCTGTGCCATAAAAGAGTGTATAGCTGTCATTACTAGCAGGATGCATATTTGCAAGGAGTTCAGACAAAGCAACCAGACTGTACATCCTCGCTAGACTGCTCACTGGCTCTAGACCTCAAGCAGATGGATGAGCCTTTGTGCCTCATTTTTTCCATCTGCAAAGTGGGTAAACAAGTAGTATTCTCTTCATGGGACTGTTGTGTGAATTAAATGAATTTGTATATAAAGCTCCTAGAACAGAACTCAAGTGTAGTTGATGCTGTTATTTTCTCCAGTGCTGGGAGAGAAGACAGGTTAGGGCTTATTTGTTTCTGTCAACCAACACACCCTTTCCCTGAAGGTGGGAGTGGCACCTGTCCTCATCAGATTGAAAACTCCAACCTGCCACCAGTGGGCCTCCTCATCTGGGCAAAGATAACAGATTTAGGGGCCAAGACGACCCCTCCCTGTCCTGCCTTTCTCAGAGCCCATGCCCCAAAGGCAAAACTGTGAGGCTGAGGCCCTCAGTCCTGAATCTGTGCCAGGGCAGGTCCCTCCTCCCCCTGCAGCTTTGTTCATCCTGGGCCCTTGCTTATTTCTTTCTCGAGCAGAGGCAAGAGGAAGGGACTAGCTGGGAGGCTGGGTCTGTGGCTGGAGGACTCAGGAAGGGGGTAGCAACTCCACAGCCTCAGATGATAAACCTCAGAGCTGAGAAACCAACCCCTTCCTTCGGTCCTCTGTGAGCTAGGAGCCCTCCCCTCCCAGCTACTAGAAAGCTAAACCTTCTGCTCTTTGGGCTGGTCTGACAAAGGAGCCGGCTCAGAGAAGAAAATTGGTTCCCTCCGTGCTCTCTCTCCTCCCCCTGACTCCCACAGCTCTGCTCCTGGCGTGTTTGCTTTCAGCTGAACACTTCCTGATATGCAAAGGGCTGGGTGTGTGTACTTAAGACAGTGTACACACGCAGGCATGGACAGGGACTTCACACAAGAGCCTGCCTCCTGGCTGGGGCGAGGTTTGCTAATTTTCTGGAACCCTCCTGATTCCTGGTAGGCTCTGATTACAAGTCTGGGAACCTGGGCTGAGGTGGGGCGGGGACGGGTGAAGGAAGAAAGACAAAACCTAGTGCATTGTAATTCTGCATCTCCCAGACTCTGGGAGATGAGCTCAGGGCATTGTACCTTACCCGTGCTGCGACCACAGGGTGGGGGACCTTTGCCCACAGTCCCTTCCACTGCTGGGCCACAACTGCTCTCCCTGCCTGCCTGTTAGACTCTCTCTCTGGCAGTTGCTTGGAGGTCATAGTCCCATTCATCTGTAAAACAGGTGAATGACGCCTTCCTCCTGTGGCTCCTGTGAGGAGTAACAGAGGTGACACATCAGTAAATGTGCCTGGTAGCCTCCAGGCCTTCTGGGATAGGAAGTGGAGGAAGTGGGCTGAATTTTCCCCCCTGTTTCGAAAGGCCAGTTGCTGGGGCACAGCAGACACATGGTTGTGTGAAGTCCCACTGGCAAGTCAGAATCAGCCCACCTCCGTCTTCCTGAGAAGCACTTGGGTTAGGAAATCAAGAGCCAGAGTTGAGGTCACTCGGGGGTCCTCTCTCAGTATTCTCTCCTGATAAAATAGAGAGTCAGGGCCGACCCTTGCCCTCTGCAGCAGGAGGAGGTAACTGGTATGCTAGCCCTTTGGTAGAATAGCATTGCTGTGTCAAAGCTCTACAGGGGTTGCCTTGCTTTTCAGCCCTTCCATCTGCCCCGAGGCCTGTATGTGGGACTTCACCAGATAAAAATAACTGCCTTGAGGGTCCAGCCAAGGGCATACACCCAGCCCTTTCCCCTCCCTCCAAGTGAAATCAGAAGTAAGAGCAAAGGTCACTGATTTTGTTGTGAGAACCATCTGACGCCCCAAGTATAGGCCCATCCGTGTGACTGGCCGCTGGTGAGTGTCCATCTCTTCCCCTTTTGTAGACAGAGTGGGAAAAGCTTAGGAGGAAGCAGAGCTGTTGTGTCTGGTCTTTGTGTAGGCAGCAGATGCCTCCTCAGTAGTTCTGAGAAATCCTGTCCTCTGCCTTCCCAAGACTGTTCCCTCTCTAATTTCCTTTATTCCCTCCTCAATGGAGATCGCAGCAAGGCAGGGACAAGGATTAGTGGTTCCAGGACTCCATGGCGACTTGGCCCCTCCATTTGGTCCTGTAAGAGGTAAAAAGGATAAACTCTATATCGGTCCTTAAGCCAGCTCTGTATCCCTCATGGAGTGTTGGGAGCCCTTGAAGCCCCCAACCCGTGCACCTGGGCTTGAGAGAACAGTATTCCCCTTTCTCCTGCCTCCTGGTTCCTTCTGTTTCCCTGCCTGGCATGCCTACCTGTCCCCCACTCTTCCACCTGCTCAGATCTTCCCAACCTCCAAGATTCCATTCCTGTCCACCTCCTCCATGAAGTTCCTTTACCTACTCTAGCATGACCTAGGAACCACGTGGTTGGTATTTAGAGTCCAAGTTGGGTAATATCTTCCATTGTCTACTGAGTTGTTTCATTTGCATTGGTCCATTTCACCCAAATATATTATAAAGTTCTCGAGAGCAGGAATCATGGATCACAAAAATAATCTCCTGAAAAGAAAATTGGACCCCCATCACTCTGCTGCCTAAATCCCTCCTGGGAAATCCAGGTCACTGCCTGGGCTTAAAAGCCGCATTCCTTCCCCTGCGTGATCCGGCCCCTGCCCATACCTCCAGCCCTGCCTGGCTCCTCCCCTCTCCCTTCCCCACTGCACCAAGGCACCCTGGCTTACTTCAGCTCCTCTCTCTGCAAGCAAAAGTCCCTCCGCAGGACCAGGTGTTGAGGAAGTTTGCCTGGAATACTCTCTCTCGACCTCCATGCTTTCATTTCAGGGTGACTGTCCCCTCCTTGGAGAAACTGTCCTTCCTTCACCATGCTGTCTCAGAAGGTCCCTGTCTTACTTCCTTCATTGCACTTACTGCTGTGTGCAGTTGTGTTTGCTTGTTTACTTGTGTTTTGTGTGTCTCCTCTACTAGACAGAAAGCTCCATGCAGGTAGGGATTGTGTGTGCTTTGGTCAGGCCTCACATTTGGTGCTGGGTACATTATTGGTGGAGTGAATGGTACTAATAGCAGCAGCTAAGATTTATTGATTGCCTGGTATCTGCCAAGCACATACTAGATATTTTGTGGAAAGTATGGCTTTTGATCTTCTCATCAGTTCTCTTGAAAAGGTAATACAGTCATGTATCACTTAACAACAGGAATATGTTCTGAGCAATGTGTTGTCAGGTGATTTCGTCATTGTGGGTGCATCATAGAATGCACATACACCTAGATGGTATAGTCGACCACACACCTAGGCTTTATGGTATAGCCTATTGCTCCTAGGCTACAAACCTGTACAATTTGATACTGTACTGGATACTGTAGGCACTTGTAACACAGTGGAAAGTATTTGTTTATCTAAACATAGAAACGGTACCACAAAAATTGCAAAACGGTGGTATTGCAATATAATCTAAACTGCCGGGGAGGCACACTTCATCAATAAGGGTACCTGATCTCAAACTAGGCAAAGTGGGGACCAAAGTGAGGCCCATACTTTACCTACACAATGTCCATTTGTGTATCTAATCCTGAATTGTACCCACATCCTTAAAACAAAAAATAAATTAAAAATAAATTGAGTTTTTTGTCAACAGCAAAAATAATCTTATGGCCCACCATTGTATATGCGATTCGTCTTTGACCAGAATGTCATTATGTAGCACATGACTGTATTAGCCCAGTTTCACAAATGAGCTGCTGATAAGGCTAAGCCCAGAGATGATAAGTTACATGACCAAGCTGTTAAGTGGCAGAGTTGGGACTCATTCCCACACTACCTGGCCTGTACCAGGTTGAACCCCATCCTATTTCCCTAGCAAGGACTATGCCCTGAAGGTGTGTTGGTTCCAACACTGAGAGGGCCAAAAGGAGAGGTTCTGATTCTACCATTACTGTTGTGTCTTGGTCCTCAGAGCTCGGAGGACCAGGGAGCCAGAAGTCAGAGTATCTTCTGGGTATTTGAGTAGATTAGACTTCCTCTTGCAGACAGATGTGGGCTTTGCCACCATCAGAGTTAAGCAGATGGAAAGATGGAGTAAAGTGTGACTGGGACTTTGACTGAGGGTTGGCTCAGGCTGGTGGTCATCACTCAGCCTTGGTGTTCCCTCTAGTCTAACATTTTTAGCAGTTGAGTTACCCGTTCTCTGCTAGAATGCTTCTCTTGTCAGAAGACTCACTACCTAATCCTTTGAGACAGTGGGAGACAGCTCTAATGCACCCAGGTTTGACAGTGGGAGACAGCTCTAATGCACCCAGGTTTGATCCTAAAACTTTTCACCACTATTCCTGGGTCTGCAGAGCAACCTAGATTGAGTCTAAGGCCTCTTTCCACACAGTCTTCATATAGGAAAAGAATATCACCACATCTGACGCAGGTTCCTCTCTCTCTCTTCCAGGTTAATGTACTTCTTTGGGGTTTTTCTGATTATAAAATTAATATTTACTCACTGTAGGTGATTTTAAAAGTAGAGAGAATCACACTGAAGCAAATACACTCAAGCCCCATTATCCCACACTCCTACTGCTGGATACTCAGGCGATGGCTTCAGTTCCCAGCCAGTGCTGGAGAAAATTCTTAGTTGCTGTCTGTCACCTAACCCTCTCCACTTGCAGACCCTGGAGCATCTCAGACAAGCAGGGATCACAGGTTTCATTTTCTTTTCTTTTCTTTTCTTTTTTTTTTTTTTGAGTTGGAGTCTCACTCTGTTGCTCAGACTGGATGCAGTGGCCGCTCCCGGCCACCGCAGCCTCGACCTGCTGTGCTCCAGCGATCCTTCCGCCTCAGCCTTCCAAGTAGCTGGAACTACAGGTGCATGCTACCACGCCCGGCTGATTTTTGATTTATTGTAGAGTTGAGGTCTCGCCAAGTTGCCCAGGCAGGTCTCGAACCCACGGGCTCAGGCAATCCACTCACCTCAGCCTCCCAAAAGCGTGGGATTACAGGCTGAGCCACTGAGCCCGGCCAGGTTTCATTTTCATATCAACTCTGGCATTGAGAAAGAGTTTGAGACTATAGCCACACTCAGTGGAAAAGATCATTGTGGTTGCTTAGCAACGTCTGCCACACATGTGGGAAGTTGGAGGGGTATGTGTGCTCCCTGCTTCTCTTTCTGTACTAAGTGATGGGAATTTGGAATACTCGTGAAGCTGGAACTGGTCTTGTGTCTCTTCAAGACTGTACCCTCTGAGTCCTGTTTCCTGAAAGGAAACAGCTGAGGGGTTGAATTCCCAACCAACTCTCCCTTCCTTTGAAGTGTAACAAGGAATCCTATATCTCAGGGCATGAGGCCATTGTGGAAGAAAGACTTGGATCCATGGGCCAGGTACAATGGCTCATGCCTGTAATCCCAGCACCTTTGGTGGCCAGGGCAGGAGGATCACTTGAGGTGAGGAGTGGACAACATAGCTGGGCATGGTGGTGTATGCCTATAGTCCCTGCTACTTAGGAGACTGAGGCAATCAGGATCACTTGAGCCCATGAGTTTGGGGTTACAGTGAGCTAAGATCATGCCACTGCACTCCAGCCTGGGTGGCAGAGTGAAACCCTTTCTCCACAATAAATTAAAAAATTAGCCTGGCATAGTGGCTCACACCTAGTCCCAGCTACTCAAGAGACTGAGGAGAGAGGATTGCTTGAACTCCAGGAGTTCCAACCTGGGCAACAGAGCAAGACTCTGTCTCTAAAATTAAAAAAACAAAAAAACAAAAAAAACGAATCCTGTTAAGGCAACAGGTGAACTCCATGCAGGATGCTGTGGCATGAGGGGAATGTGCTCCAGCACCACCCCTTGGGCCAGGTTCCAAATCTCAGGCTCTCTCCTTGCAGTAGCTAGTTGGGGCCTGTGATGGCAGCTCATTTATCCAAAGCACACTCAGGTGTGCTGCCCCAGGTGGCTTTGGCTAGGCAGAACTTGGTGGCAGGAAGGGCTCACAACCCACCTGGGCCTGCTGGCACTGTGGTTTACTCACTCCCACCTCTGCTCTTTCTTCCTGTCCCTCTCCCAGCCCATGAAACCCCTGAAGGCCACAGCCACCACCTCCCAGCCTGTCCTCACCATCCAGCAGATCGAGACTATCTTCTACAAGATCCAAGACATCTATGAGATCCACAAGGAGTTCTATGACAACCTCTGCCCCAAGGTGCAGCAGTGGGACAGCCAAGTCACCATGGGCCACCTCTTCCAGAAGCTGGTGAGTCTCCTAGTGTTGGAGGGTCCTTGTGCAGGGCCTCAGTGGAGCCAATAGTGTTGGAAAGGAGCCTTGGAAGAGGACCGGTCAGCCCCAGCCCTTTTGGCCTCCTTGAAGGCCTGGGTCATCCCCGAGTCCTGGAGGAAAGCCTGGGTCTCCCATGCTGCAGCCCTGGGGGTGCTTCTGAGGATGGTGGAGATGGGCTGTGTGCATGGCTGCTTCTGGGAAAGTGCCATTTCTCTTTCCCCAAGGGTTCCATGGAGCCAGCCCTGTAATGGAGGCTTCCTCCTGGACTTTGGGTTCCCTGTCCCTCAGTGGACAGAGGGGCACATGCTGGATTGGGGGGCAAGAACTTCTCACCTGAGACCTTGGAGATTCATTACGTCTCAAGCTGCCTCTGTAAAATGCAGCATTGGATGGGAGACTGTCAGCTAATGATCCTCTTTCGAGGTCCCAAGAGCAGAAAGCACTAAAAGCCAATCCCCACCCACTGCTGTCGGGGAGAGGGATGTACAGACTTAGTATCAGAAATGCCCGAAGAAGCCTTCTGGTTCCCAGGGCTCCCGTGACACCCTCTCCCCTAGCTCTGCCTGTGTCTCTGGCTATGTCCCAAGGTCAGATCCTTGACGCCCCCCACCCAGCTTCCCTGCCACAACTTCTGACAGCCCAACAGGCAAGAAGGAGACCAAGAGTCAGTGACTGTGGTGCTCTGGGTGTGAATGGCTGGGAACAGGGAGAAGCGTGTCCCCTTTTCCTCCCCTGACCTGAGACTAGTTGAGTTGTCAGACAGGCCTCGACTTTTCTTACACTGGAGGAGACTATCGCTTGGACACTGCTAGGACCTCTAGCTCATCATGTGCAAAACTGAACTCTGACGTTATCTGCTCTGCTTCCTGTCTTTATCTCAGTGGGTGCCTAGGACTCAGCCTTGGCCCCTCCCCCTCCCCAACCCTCATCCTCTTTCTCTTCACCCCCTCTGGCACCCTTCCAGTGGCCCTCACCTGGACCGCTGCATAGACTCATGAGTGGCTCCTGCCTCCAGGCCTGCTTTCCCTCCTGCCTTCATCTTTACTTAGAGGGAAGTCACCTAAGCTCCTGGCCAGACCTTGCATTCCCGTCTTTTGTCCCTTCAGTGGCTCCCCCTTGCCCATTGGATGAAGGCCAGGCTCTGAGGAACGGCTTACAAGACCCTTCATGTGCTGACCTCTGCCCACCCATGGCCTCCAACCACTTCCTCCCCTACCTCTGTGCCCTTGACACTGGACTTTCTGTTCTCAGTTCACACTGAAGGCACTCTCTGACCTCTCTATACCTATGACTCCTCCTGCCTGAAATGTCCTTTCCCGTCTTGTCTGGCTTTTACTGGGCAGTTCCCAGCTCAGAAGTGACCTCCTCAGAGAAGCCTTCTGTAGCCCCCAAATGCTGCCCCTGTGCTCGTCTCCTCAGTGAGCACTTATAACTGCCTAGCTCCCCAAAACTACAGGTTCCAAGAGGGCAGACAGTGTGTTCTTCTCATTCTCCAGGAAGCAGCCCAATGGTCAGTGCATGAATGAATGAATGCACCATGACCTTGACCATTGGGTCTAGGGAGAACTTGGAAGAGGCACTGAGGGGGACATCACAGGGCCTGTGGTCTGTTTCTCAAGACCAGCAGTGTTGTAGAAACAAGCACAGCTTCTAGAGCCAGGTCACAGCTGGGTTTGAATCCCAGCTCTGCCACAGATTAAGCCTGTGACTGGGCAACTCACCAGACCTCTCTGTGACTCAGCTCCCTCATCTGTAAAAATGAGGACAGTCATAGTATTTACCTCATTGGTTCATTGTGAATGAGAAGTGAGTTAATCTGGAAAGTGCTTGGAACAGGGCCTGGAACAGCAAAAATTAGTAAATACTTAATAATTAGCCATTATCATTTCTGTCATCATCATCATCAACATCATCATCATCATGATAATTAGGAAGAGGTACTCCTAAAGGCATCCTTTCAGTAGAACTCCACATTTCTAGTTCTAGCAGACCCAGATGCTTCTCCCAGTTCAGAGATGGTGAACACCCAGTTATCACTCCCCGGCCCCAGGAGCTGACTGGCTTGGGGGGCAGCCTCTCTTCGGCCCTCAGGAGGGCAAAAGAGAGCACACCCAGGGCAGGAGGGTCAGTAGCCTGGAACTTAGTGGAAAGACTATTCCAGTTTATCTGCGTCACCTGAACCCTGCTTTCCCCTTTCTGGTCTCAGCTCTGCAGGCCTGGTTGTGAGTCTGCTACCCCCCTTTCCTCCCCAGCCTCAAGCACTGATGGCTGAGGCCTCTGGGGCTGCAGGCTTGGGAGGCCTGGGTGGAGCTGGGGCAGGCTTGGCATCTGGAGGCAGTTTATTTTCAGCTGAAGTCTCCGGGCATTTGATTATTCATTACCAAGAGAAGGGAATTAGCATTTCTGCTGTTTGTTTTATGAGATCATTCCAGTGCCAAGCTGCTGTTTCCAAGCAACCTCCACTTCCCAGTTAATGACCCTGGCAGGCTGGGGGCCCTGGGCCTTACAGCCTAGGGTGACTGTGGAGATGGCAGTGCCTGAGATGGCATGACCCTTGCACAGAGACTTTTGCACAGGTGGCTCCTGCTGCTGGCTCATAGGAGAATACTGTGTCAACTTCGGTATCCCAGCTCTGGGATACCCAAGGAGAGCCCTTTTCTGGAAAAAGAATATCAGTGATTTGTACTTTGGCTTAGGAAGCGACTGTCTAGCACATCTCCTGTAGCTTGGGGCACCAAAGGGCCTGGCCAGTACTCCCTCTGGAAAAAGCTCCATCCCTTCCTGCCCCTCCCGCCATTTTTTTTTTTTTTTTAACCTGGCCCCTCTGGGGCTGAGACCTGCACTGTCCTGGGCTTGGCTTCTCCCCAGGCATCCCAGATCTCACTCTTCCCTCTGGCTTCCCTGGACTTCTCTTTCTCCCATCTTGCCAGTTTCCTCAAGGGATCCTGTCTCTTTCCTGGCAGGATCCAGGCTCAGCTGATGCTGTGGCCAGCACCCTTATCCCCACCCCTTGGGTCCTTGAGGAGACAGAAGCCACTGGGAAAGCCAGGCAGCAGCAGAACTCCCTTGCTACTTCATTGTAAAAAAAAATTGAATCGGAAAAATGACATAGCTAACAACTGTGTACTCACCTGCCAGAATGGACAGGTTTAGTTAAGCCCTGAAGACATATGGCAAAACTTTCTAATCAAGAAAATAAGGCTTTGCTGGTAGAGGTGGACACTCCCCCTCCCTTCATTTTCTTGAAGCAGCTACTGGTGTGAATTTGGTGTGTAGCCTTCTAGCCGGCAGTTTATGTTTCTACTACATATCTATATCTTTTTTCAGCTTTGCATGTACTTTTATTTTATTTTATTTTTTAGAGATGGGGGTCTCACCATACTGTCCAGACTGGACTTGAATTCCTGGGCTCAAGTGATCCTGCCTTGGCCTCTTAAGTTAGCTAAGACTATAAGCAAACCACTACACCCAGCTGCATGTACTTTTTTTTTTTCTTTTGTGTCGGGGTCTCACTCTGTCACCCAGGCTGGAGTACAGTAACACGATCACAGCTCACCATAACCTCGGCTTCCTGGGCTCAGGTGATCCTTCTGCCTTAGCCTTCGTGTAGCTGGGACTACAGGCAAGCACCACCATGCCTGGCTAATTTTTTGATTTTTTTGTAGAGAGGAGGTCTCACTTTGTTGCCTTGGCTGGAAGCTGCATGTACTTTTTTTTTTTTGAGTTGGAGTCTCACTCTGCCCAGACTGGAGTGCAGTGGCACGCTCCTGGCCACCGCAGCCTCGACCTGCTGGGCTCCGGTGATCCTTCTGCCTCAGCCTTCCAAGTAACTGGAACTACAGCCGTGCACTACCAAACCCGGCTAATTTTTTGATTTTATTGTAGAGATAAGGTCTTGCCAAGTTGCCCAGGCGGATCACGAACCCTCGGGCTCAGGCAATCCACTCACCTCAGCCTCCCAAAGAGCGGGATTACAGGCTGAGCTACTGAGCCCGGCTTGCATATACTTTAAAAATGCATATAAGTATAGATGTACATATATTTTGCAATTCAATCAGCATTCATTTTGAAACTTGTCAATTTATGCATTGTTACACATAAATCTAGATCATTCATTGAACGACTGTGTGTGTACATGCTTCCCTGTTTGTAAGCATTTGTTTCCAGATGCAACCAATGCCCCTACTCACGTCTCCTTGGGCACACGTATATTTGAGTCTCGCTGGAGCAGTGCTATCTAACTGAAATATATTACAAGCCACATATATAACTCTAAATGTTCTAGTAGCCACATTTTTTAAAAGCAAAAATAGGCAGGTGAGATTAATTTTTAAGAATATATTGTATTTATCCCACCAGGCACGGTGGCTCACGCCTGTAGTCCCAGCTAATTGGGAGGCCGAGGTGGAAGGATCACCTGAGCTCAGCAGGTCGAGATTGCAGTGAGCCATGATCATGCCACTGTACTCCAGCCTGGGCAACAGAGTGAGACCCTGACTTTAAAAAATATGTGTGTGTGTGTGTGTGTGTGTGTGTGTTTTATTTATCCCAACAGATCCAAATATTACCATTACATTATCTTTTGCATACGAAGCTTTTGGCATCTATTGTGTATTTTACATTTACGACATATCTCAATTTGGACTGGCCATATTTCAGGTGCTCAGTAGCCACATATCGCTAGTAGCTACCATACTGAACAGCGTAGCTCTCCAGTCTGTATGTAGAAGTGGATTTGCTAAGCAGGAAGCTGAGACTGTGCCTATTTTCAGTTTTATGAGTTATTGACAAATTGTTCTTCAAATAATTGGTCTAGCTTATACCCCCACAAGCACCTATAAGAGTTCATACTTATGCATATTCTTGCCAACTCTTGATATCACTGGACTTTTAAATTTTGTCCCTTCGATGAGTGTAGACTAGTATCTCACTGTGGTTTCAATTCGAATTTCCACCCTTTGCTCCCTTAAGAGGAAATGCTTATGGACTGCCCAGGGAAGGCTTCGCATAAGTATTTGAGGTATCGAATTCATGAGCCTTGGTTTCCCCTTTTACAGAAAAGATTGATGGGATCTGCCCTGCCTCCTAGAGGTGGTGAGGCTCTCTACGATCATAAGTCATGGAAAGCTTTGTGTCTGATTCTGAGTGACATGCAGATGTGTAGTGAGGCAGGGGCTTTGGCTTCCTGAAGGCTGAGGAGATGGGGACGAGGATCCAGAGGCCAAGGGAAGCGGGGAGACTGCACCCTTAGATGCCGTGCCCCACACTCCACATAGGGAGGGAGGGCTGAGCAGGCTACACGTGCCCACCCCACCCCTCTATCTTTCCCTGCTCCAGCTAATTCCAGGATGTGAAAGGAGTGTGAGACATTAAGGGGCTTCAAAACCCTGTGAGACCTTATGATGCTAAAGAAAGCCAAATGTGATGAGTTGAATCTCTAGCATGCCAACAAAGGCCCTATCCTGCTCTCCCCCCCCCCCCCAGTACCCTCATGTTAACCTTATTGGCTGAGCCAGTTTCTATGGAAACTGTCAAGTTCAAAGGGATACTGTAATATGTTCATCCCTGCCTTTCCCCTAGTTCCCAGCTAGCCCTTTGGAGCTGAGTTAGAGGTTCTGAGCACGAAGGGAGCTCCAGGTGCCCTGGTTAAGCTTTCATCCATTCATTAATCCTCTCCCCATCCCACTCCCACCCGCCTCTCTCTCTATTCTCTGTCTTCTCCCTGCAGGCCAGCCAGCTTGGTGTGTACAAAGCTTTTGTGGATAACTATAAAGTCGCTCTGGAGACAGCTGAGAAGTGCAGCCAGTCCAACAACCAGTTCCAGAAGATCTCAGAGGTAGGCAGCTCCGCACACAGCCACCCCAATAATGCTGGGCTTTGGGGACTGTTTGGAGCCTTCTAGCCACTGGGTCTCCTGTCCCTCACTTGACAGTCAGAGAAGTGGCCACCCCAATGGATAGCAGCCTGATACTTGTTTTCTTGCACCTAACATTCTCTCTCTTAGTATAAGGATAATACTTTGTTTGATTTTTTTTTTATTATTCTGTTTCATGTTAGAGAGAGGAAGAGTGGCAAAAAAAGGGTAATATTTTCCCATGCTATGGTGACCTTGAGTAAGTCACTTCCCTTTCCTTGGCTTTTGTTTCCTCTCCTGCAGAATGAGGTGTTTAGACTTGTCCAGTGAATCTTACACCTGCTTTATAAGAATCACTGGGACACTGTCTAAAATGCAGATTTCTAGGCACTGTCCCAGGAGCTTCTGATTTGGAATGCTTGGGGTGGGGTCCGGTAGTCTATATTTTAAAAGCTTCTGGGTGATTTTTATGATCTAGAAGTCTGGACCAAATAGTCTTTTTTTTTTTTAATTGAGTAGGAGTCTCACTCTGTTGCCCAGGCTGAAGTGCAGTGGCACACTTATGGCCACTGTAGCCTTGACCTGCTGGGCTCAGATGATCCTTCCGCCTCAGCCTTCCAAGTAACTGGAACCACAGGCACGTGCCACCATGCCTGGCTGAATTTTTGATTTATTGTAGAGATGAGGTCTCACCAAGTTGCCTGGGCTGGTCTCGAATCCCTGGGCTCAGACATTCCTTTTGCCTCAGCCTCCCACAGTGCCAGGATTATAATAGGCTTGAGCCACCATACCTGGAGTAGGATCCTTGCTTGACTTGGAGACTGCAATCCCACAAACAGAAAGAGAGCAAGGGCCACTTATGTGGAGAACCTGCCCTAGACTCCTCTGGCTGGGAGTATGCCTATTCCTGCCAAGTTTTTCTTCCGTACTCCTCTGCGGGGCAGAGATATGGCATCATCTTCCATCAACATTTCTATCCAGGAGTTGGGAGGTGGGTTGTTCTAGTATCCTTCAGGAGCATAGCCCAGTTCACTGCTTTGTCCAAAAAGACCTCGATGACACCCCTAAACCCCGCCTTGCAGGAACAGCATCCACCTCCAAGCTCAGGGCAAAAGAACTTCTGGGGAAATACTTCTGCAACATTCGAAGTCCTGCCTTATAGGCCCCTCTTGACCCTTTGTGACCTCCATTTCAACTGACACTAGAAAAGTTGGTGAGACAAGATAGTTTTCCTGACACTACTGGGGCTATAGGTTATGCCCACATTTGGAATCAATTGAGAGGCAGTACAGGAGTGGGACAGATGGACATGAAAACATCAGCTTAATTACTGTTAAAAGCTGGCTTGGAAGCCAGGTGCAGCAACTCACACCTGTAATCCCAGCACTTTGGGAGGCAGAGGTGAGAGGATTGCCTGAGTCCACAAGTTCGAGACCAGCTTGGACAACATGGCAAGACCTCATCTCTACAATAAATCAAAAAATGTACTGGGCATGGTGGTGCACACCTGTAGTTTACTGGGCATGGTAGTACACACCTGTAGTTCCAGTTACTTGGGAGGCTGAGGTGGAAGGATTGCCTGTAGTTCCAGCTACCTGGAAGGCTGAAGTGGAAGGATCACCTGAGCCCAGCAGGTCGAGACTGCAGTGGCTATGAGTGTGCCACTGCACTCCAGCCTGGGTGACAGAGTGAGACTCCAACTCAAAAAATAACCTGGCTTGGCTGGGCACAGTGGCTTATGTCTATAATCCCAGCACTTTGGGAGGCCAAGGTGGGAGGATTGCTTGAGCCCAGGAATTTGAGACTAGCCTGGGCAACATAGTGAACCGTCATCTCTACAAAAAATTAGCCAGGCATGGTGGTGCACACCTGTAGTTCCAGTTACTTGGGAGGCTGAGGTGGAAGGATTGCCTGAGCCCAGGAGGTCAAGACTGCAATGAGCTGTGGTGGTACCACTGCACTCTAGCCTGTGTTACAGAGTGAGACCCCAACTCAAAAGAAAAAAACCCAGCTGATTTGTAACATGTGTATTTGGGTCTGTAGCCACTGTGGCTTGCTAACACTTCACCTCTAAAATTAAATGTATCTGTTGAGCTCCTGGAAGGAATGGGAAGCCTCAGACCCCTCTCACAATGAGGGCAGAGCTTATCCCCCTAATTTAGGGTGCAGAGAGCGGAGGGCTAAGCCCAGTTTCTTCTCCCAAACCTATGGAGCAGATGAGTCATCCTTGCCCAGGAGGACGGAGCAAGGGATGGAAGTCCCTCTACTTGGAATCAAGAGGCAGGAGAAATAGTGCTTCCCCTGGGAGGCTTCCAGCCTTCCCTGGAAACAGACTGGACTCCCCTGATCTGTGTTCAGAGTAGCTCTGTCAAGGCTGCCTGAGTGCCCAAGGTTAAATATGGTCCAAAGAGCATGGGATTTCCTCTTAGCCTGAGCTGCTTGCCTGTTCCCTGTGCATGGGCAGAAACCCCTGCACCCATCCATAAGCCCCTTTCAAAGCCTGCCCGCCCCAGAGGGCAAAGCCAGGCCCATGGCCTTCTGCCAGGTGGCTTCTCATCCTGACTCACTCAGTGATGATGATGCTGTTGCTTCCTGCTGGCGCTGCCACTTAATTACCGCAATTAGGCTCTTCTCTGCAGCAGGAATGATTTCATACCTCTAGGTTTCACTGGAGGGGGCGCGTGGAGAAAAATTCCCTAAAGCTGGGAATCCAGGCACCAGCCAGAGATAGAGCCTAGAGTAAGCCCCCACACCCCCTGACACACACACACACACACACACCAAACTCATCCCTGGGAGTTTTCTCCATCTAGAAACAGCTTGAGAGGAAAGAACTATGGAGCTCCCACTGTCTGGGCATTTCCTTCCTCCTAGGTGGAGTGGACAGTATCACCTGGGTGCCTGACCTTGGCCTCACCTTGCCCCCTGCCTTCCCTCCAGCACCCCTCCTCTAGGCCTTGTGTACTCAGTCAGCCAGGGGAGGATTGCGTTACAGCTCCAGTTGCAGGCCACACCATCCTGTTAGCGAAAGCTGGGGCTGGAACCTCTCTCTCTAAAGGAGGTTAAAAGCGGCTCGGATCAGAGAAGTCATCCCTAGAGTCTGTTTCCAGCACTCAGAACCAGTCACTTGGCATGGGATTCAGGAGGTGTGTGGGTCCTTCCTCCCTTGGAGTTTCCTTTCTGATTCCCAGCACAGGCATTGGTGGGTGGGGAGTGTCAGGTGGGGCTGGGTCATCCCTCCTGATATGGGAGCCCAGCATCTCTACCCCAGTTCCACCACTTCCCGGCTTCCCCTGTGCGGGTATATGGGAGGACCCCTTCTGATCTCAAGGGTTGCTCATATCCCAGTGATCAGCTGGAACACCTGGTGCTTATTGACTCAAACCCTGTCTGCCCTGTGTAGGATCTCTGAGTAGGGGCTGTTTGAGGGGTGGAGAGGCGTGTGGTTCTGCTCTTGCCACCACCCACTTTCTGGAAGGCTCTCAGAGTTGCTGTCGAGGAGTTCCCCATTATCACAGTACACCCTACCAGCTGTCCTGTCTGGAGTCCCCTCCTTCTTGCCCACACCCCAGTCTCCAGACTCCATGAGGCTCCAGGAGATCACAGGTGTGGGCACAGGGCATCTAGGAGGGAAGGCAGAGGCAGACCTGTGTCCATGGGTTTCCTTTGTCCCTCGCCTCCTATTAGCACCCCTGGGTTGCAGAGCCCTTCTTCCTGCCATGCTCACAATGGGAAAGTGGGGGGACAGACCAGGCAGTGATTCCTCTCCTCCCTTTGGCAGGAACTCAAAGTGAAAGGTCCCAAGGACTCCAAGGACAGCCACACGTCAGTCACCATGGAAGGTACTTTGGGGAACGGGCTGGATTACAGTCATCTTCCTTTGTCTGGCTTTGTGGACTATGGGCTGTGTGAACGCGGGCCCTCCCTGCCTGTGCGCGTGAGTGTGTGTGCGCGCACACGAGGAATCCAGCCTCGTCCCCAGGCAGGCAGCCAGCCAGCTACAAACGTGCTCCTCCTTAGAATGCCAGCAGGCTGCTCGGTCCCTTCCCCTCCCCCCGTCCTCTCGCCTCTCCACGCACCTCCCCTCCCCTCCCCCTTGCTGGAAGAGCACTCGGAAGCGGCTGCTTGATTCTGGAGGCTGTGCAGCAGCAGCCGGCAAGGTGGCTGAGTGACCGGGCTGCTGATGGGAGCAGGGGAGCCGGGAGCGATGGCTACACGCTCCTGCCGCAGGGACAGAGGCTGCCATGGAAATTCTCCTCATCATTCGCTTCTGCTGTAACTGCACCTATGGTAACCCAGGCGCCCCTCCATGGGAGGTGGTATATCTTCCCGTTTCTGAGGGCTGGCTGGAGTGGGCTTAAATGTGGCCAGCTGGGCTTGGGGGCAGCGGGGAAGGAGGGTGGGCAAGTGACTGGACCTTCATCTACCTCCATTCGGGCCAGCATCCACCCTGGAATTGAAGTCTGGGGCCCAGTCAGGGCTATGCAGCTTTGAAACGGAAGGGCCCAGGTCTACCCCACACCCTAAGGATCTGCGAGAAATTGGTGGGTAAATGTGAGAGGCTTTAAGCAACTTCCTGGAGAGGCTGTTAAGGAGAGAAAGTGCCAGGCTGCACCTACGAACACAGTCACCCTGAGGCCAGAGAGAGGGTCAGCGGGGGTCAGCGGGGGCCAGGCCCAGAGTGGCAGATGGTCTGGAAGGCAGCACCTCGAACCGAGAGGGTGCCAGCCCGGGCTGGAGGGAGAAGTTGGGAGTTTCTTTGTTTCTGGAGAGAGGAGAGGAGGTTGAGCAGCCAGGGCATTGTGTGCTCAGAGTGCACATGCTGCCTCCCCTTAGAGCAGCGGCGGTGGGAGGACATGGGGCGGTTTTGAGCACAGGAAGAAATCGGAGGGCTTGCTTGCAGCCACCAGAGACCTTCAAGCTGAAGTCTCGGCACTTAGTGTGGAAGGTAGGTCGGCATTGCCAATGGAGAGGGGGGTGTGGCAGGCCGCTGCTTTGCGAAGGTCACACACTCCCTGTTCCGTGGAAGGGACTCAGACCATTCTCTTTGCAGTTCCCCCAGCTGGGGGGTTGAGGGGGGTCCCAGAACAGGTGCATGCTGTCAGCCAGGCGGCTACTCATAGGAAACTGAGCAGGCCCCGGCAGGGAGATGTCCAGACACCTGTGGGCCCTGCTCTCTGGGACAGGATGTGCCAAGGGTGACCCACACTGTCCCTGGCAGGTTTTGGGGGCTAGAGTTGCCTCCAGGACAGCAGTGCCAGGCCCATGTGTGTTGGAGCAGCAGATGCTGGTTTTAGGGGCTTCCTCTTCCCTCCCACCAGGTGTTTTGTCTCTGCACCTTTCTCAGACACTGCACTTTCCCATCTCCGTGGTAACCCAGAGCTCCTTGTTGAAGGCTGACGGGAAGAGGGTGATGTTTCCTGGGTTCTTTCCCAGAGGCTGCTGTGCTGGAGGGACTGTGCGGGACCATTGTCCCTTCACCTTCCCAGGCTGTCTCTTATCAGAGAACACCAAAGACCACTGGCGATGGAAGCAGCAGCCTTTTCCCAGTGGCCCCAGCAGGAGAGCCACAGGAACTCTGTTCTGACAGCTGGGGTCAAGAGGAGAGCTGGACTTGAAACTGGCATGTTTAAGGATCAGAGGGGAAATGCTCTTTTTGTCCTGGCCTAGGAATTGATTAAATCTCAATTCTGCCTCCCAAACAAGGAAATTGACCCTTTGCTTCCCTTCTCTCCCCAAAAGGAAGCTTAGACTTAGTGAAACAGACCTGAGACCCAGAGTTCAGGGTTGCTTTGGTCCCTGCGAAACTGTCTTTGAAGTCAGTTTCAAAGTGGAGAATGAGGAGTGAAGGAGCTAGCTGGTAAGGAAGGGGCTCGCCCATCCCAGGCGAATCTTTCTGAAAATCCTCTGGTTCATTGGACTTTTATAGGTGCTGCCCTCTTCTAAGGAAGAGGACGGCTCAAAGTTAGGAGCATGGGTGGACCTGAATTCAAAGCCCAGCTATCATTTGTATTTTGGTGACTATGAGCAAGTTGCAGAACATCTCTGTGCCTCAATTTCCTCATATGTAAAAGGGCTAGTCAGGACTGCTTCCCTTTTAAAGCAGTTAACTCAGTGCCATTGGGCAGACTGAGTACCCAGCAAACTAGAGAAAGACCAGCTTGCTCATGTCAGTGGGTTGACTGGAAGACACCGCAGGTGTTGTTAGCAAAGTCCCTGGTCGGGGAAGTCTTCTTGGAGGGGAAGGAGAGACAGGCATTGCAACTTGGTGGGTATCCCAGACAGAAACAGCGTGGCAAGTAGTGGGGAGGGTGGGTGAGGAAGCAGAGCCCAGGACTGGTGAAGGGGGTCAGGAGTTCCTGGGCCAAGGGTGACTCCTCACTCTGAATCCTCAGGACACACAGGCGTGCTGGGGCTGTGGGAGTCTCTCTTCTTCCCTGGTTCCCTCCGTATCTGCATATCTGCCAGGGCCCCTCCCTGTGCTCCCCCTCTCCCCACCTTCCCTCCCAGCTGCCCTCCCAGGACTCGTTCTGCGGCCCTGGTCAGGTGGACTCTTGAGGTGACCACAGGCATATTAATAACCCCTCTGAAACCCAACCTGCCATTTGTGCAGACTTCTGAGCTTAGTCAGAAACCTCTTCCTCTTGGGACCCGAGAGAGGCTGCAGGGAGCTGACAGTGCAGTGTCAGCTTTCCTTGGGGCTGGAACTCTAGGACCCACCCTGGTAGGTGTCTGCTGAACTTGTGCTTTCTTTTGGGTCTCTGGGGTTCTCAGGTGTTATTTTCCCCTGAAGACGGACTGAGCCACAGGTGGGTGCCTTAAACAGCCTCCAAAATGGATACCTCTGAACTGGGAACTGGATTCCACCCTCAGTGTCCCAGGACACCCGAAGCTTGTCCCTACCCACTCTAGCTCCCATAGCCCATGAGGAGGGTCTCTAGAAATTGCTAGATAAGAAAGGGCTATGAGCTGGGCTCGGTGGCTCAGCCTGTAATCCCACGCCTTTGGGAGGCTGAGGTGAGTGGATTGCCTGAGCCTGCGGGTTCGAGACCCGCCCGGGCAGGCGAGACCTCATCTCTACAATAAATCAAAAAATCAGCCGGGCGTGGTAGCACATGCCTATAATTCTGGCTACTCGGAAGACTGAGGCGGAAGGATCGCCGGAGCCCAGCAGGTCAAGGCTGCGGTGGCCGGGAGCGGCCATTGCACTCCAGTCTGGGTGACAGAATGAGACTCCAACTCAAAAAAAAAAAAAAGAAAGGGCTATGAGGTGTGTTTATATAAAGCAGTTGTTTTCAGTCATTACCATACATTCAAATCAGCAAGGAGCTTTATAAAAATGCTGATACCCCGTTTCACCCTGAATAGATTTGGATTTAGTTGATGGGGGTGGAGAGGGACAGGCATCTGTATCTTTTAAGAGCTCCCCAAGTGATTCTAATGGGCAGCCAAGCAAAGACAAGCAGATAAGGCTGGTGGCACCCTGCTGAGACTGCATCTTCTTCATAGCAAGCAGATTGTTCCCTGAAGTGTCTGCTTAGCAATGTGCAGGGTATTTATATCTGGGGCTTTAGGGAACTCTTGGGTTTAGGGGTTGGCTAGGGTGTGAGTGTTGGCTCGGGGATCTGTCACAGTCCGCTCCTATGGGACACCCGTCTAGCATTATCCCTCCCAGACCAACATCTTGCACTTCTAACTGCTCTTATGGCAGAAGCCAAAGGTCATGACCCCCACGGATGGAAGCATCCAGGTGCAAGACTGAAGTTGAACCACTCATCTTGGGAGGGGTGGGCACAGCTGCTTGCAGGAAGGATGTTTGAAAGTGTTGGTCGGCCAGCTGCCACCTCCACCTGCCCCTACTGAATCCCAGCAATCCTCATTTGGTATCTGGATCTCGGAGGGGTGTGGCACATGCAGGCCTCGCTGGCTAACCTTGCATTTTCCCAGCCCCTTGGGGCTTCCTTATGTGAGGCCTGACCTGAGTTCCTTCAGGAATTCTTTGCCCCTCGGGCTGCCACCTGCTTGACAGCAGAGCCTTTCTGTGGAGATCTGGCCTGCCTCCTCCCTGGCCTCCAGCCTGTTCTATTCTTTTCTTTTTTTAGAGAGAGTCTTATTCTGTCACCCAGGCTGGAGTGCAGTGGCATAATCATATCTTACTGTAACTTCAAACTCCTAAGTTCAAAGGAGGCTTCCACCTCAGCCTCCCAAGTAGCTAGGGTTACAGTCACATGTCACTGTGCTCTGCTAATTTTTTATTTTTAGTAGAGATGGGGTCTCGTTATTGCCCAGGCTAGTCTTGAACTCCTGGCCTCAAGCAGTCTTCCAAAGTCTCCCAAAGTACTGGGATTACAAACATGAGCCACCATGTCCAGCCCAGCCTGTCCTATTCTGTCTGGTGGTCTGACAGTGTGGGGGGGGGGTCTTTCCTCAGAGAGATGAGGTCAGTTGTGTGGGTCAGAATGAAGCATGCCAGTCCCAGCTGGCTATGCCAGGCCTGGCACTAGAGAAGCCTAAGAATGATCAGATCTGGGGAGCTGCCCTTCCTGGAAAAACAGCCTGTCTTCTTCCCCCATTCTGGGATCCCAGTGTGACCTAAGGTGTGCTGAACCTCTAGGGGGTGTGGCTGAGTATAGCTGTGGGATTCAGGGTGGAGGGTACAGGGAAGCATCTGCTCTGAGCTAGTACAGGTCAGGACAGGCCTGGGAGTAGCCCTCAAAGAAGTCGAATCTGCTGAGAGGTGAGGTGAAGAGGCAGGGGTGGTGAGGGAGTCTAGGCTGTTGGGTGTGCGTTGCCTGTACCCGTTGCATGGCCTCCGTTGGGAATGAGAATGGAGGTAGCAGTCGCGGGCCCACTCTGGCTTCCCGCAAGTAGGCGTCCATGTGGGGACGCAAGGCGGGTGGGGGATACAGCCAGTCTCTGAAGTGTCGAGTTGCTCCTTGTGGGTCATCATTCTGCCTCCTTCCTGCCTTCCTAACAGCTCTACTGTACAAACCCATTGACCGCGTCACTCGGAGCACCCTGGTCCTACATGTGAGTGTCATGCCCCTTGGATGGACAGGGAGGGGTTAGGAGTTTAGTGGAAGACCCAGCCTGGGACCAGAGGGCACCAGAGTCAGTGAGAACAGCCCATTTGGGGAGTTGGACAGAAGGTCCCTGGGCCCCAACTATGCCTGCCTGGCCTGTGGTAACCATGCCAACGGGCCTGAGCCTAAATACAGCTTGGCTACTAAGCTTGACATTTGGCCAAATGCTCCCTAGGAAGCAGACGCTTCCGGCTTCCTCATCCCCTGCCTCATGGAATCCAGCATCCTTGAAGCAGCTGCAAGATGGGTAGAGGGGTCTTTCCCAGCTGCTTGGTGAAATGAGCCTCCATCTGGCTTCCCCCACTAGAGGAAAGAATAATGACTGCAGCAGGAGTTAGAGGGAGCCACTGCTCTCACCCCTGTTTCTCTGGCTCTGAGTTTTTGCAGGCATGAGGGTGGGTCCCTGAGTACTGCCCTTTGCATTCTTTTGATGGCTTCTCATTGAGCCCCCAGCTCACCACCCCATCCCTTCCCAGGACCTGCTGAAGCACACCCCTGTGGACCACCCCGACTACCCGCTGCTCCAGGATGCCCTCCGCATCTCCCAGAACTTCCTGTCCAGCATCAATGAGGACATCGATCCCCGCCGGACTGCAGTCACAACCCCCAAGGGGGAGGTGAGCTCAGGGCCCAGCACAGCCTTGAACCCAGGCTGATTTCCCATCCCTTCTCTCCCTCATGCACGGGCATTGCTGTGTGCCCTGCGCCTCTCTGACCCTGGTCCCCCATTCCCCCCAAGGAGAGACCTTCAGTCCTTGGTCACCCTGCTTGCCTATGGCATTTTGGGTCCTAGGCTAAGAGCTTTAAATCTGGTATCTGATTAATCTTCCAAATAATTCAGTGAGGCAGGAGAGGAAACTGAGGCCTGGAGAGTCTCTCCAGGTCTGGGATGAGGACTTTCAGCCATAAGTGTGGACTGGATTTTTACTTGGGCTATGTCTGCAAGCCCTACACATCATCCCCCACACCAGGGAAGCCAACCTCTGGGGACGTCATTCTTGAGTGCACACACCCCTGCTGGTCAGTGTGATGCCATCAGGGTCCCCTGGGGGCTGAGGGAGCAGGAGCTCTGAGCTGCTTTAGACTGACCTACCCAAGCAGGACCTAGGGAGTGAGCCCAACCTGGGAAGGGCTGGTACTCGAGGTGGCTGAGGCTGCCGAGGCTGCTGGAATGTCCCATGTGGGTGCCAGGATATGGGACAACAGTTCTCCTGGGGGCCTTTGTTGGTGGAAGGATGGGGACAGCCCGGTGAGGGGAGGCAGTGTGAGGAATCAGAGGGACGATTACCCTCGTGGGTCAGCAGCCTGGCCCACATAAAATGCTTTCTGTCCAATAGAGGGAATTAAGTGGCATTTGGGAGTGAAGGCTGACTGGGCTTATGTTCCTTTGTTACATTTATGAGTCTCCAGGGTCTCCTGGGGAGAGAAGTCATGAGGGACAGGTCTAGAGAGTGACTAATGGGGCACAGAGCTGTCTGTGCAGTTCCTGCTGCTGGCTTGCAACACCTGGGAATGTCACTAGTTTGTTTTACTCTGGGGAGACCTGGAAAGTCTCCAGAGGGCTTGGAGCACCATTGGTTTCATGTCGTCAGAACTGTCTATATACTTCCAGTATGCTCACCTACATATTGCAGCATATGTAGGTCACACAGTGTACAGTACACACAGGAGGGGCTGGGACAGATTGTGACAGCTCGAGAAAAGCCCATTGGCTCTGAGGGTGGCAGGGAGGACCCTCGGGAAATCCCACATGGAGCAAAATGCTCCTGACTGTCCAGAGCCCAGGTTAGAGGCTGCTGCAGGTCCTCCTAGGACACTGCTGCAGCCCTACTTGGGGCATCCCAGGGCCTTCTACCACTGGGGGTGGTTGGAGGAAACCACTGAGAGGAGCATCAACAGGCCTGAGTGGGTCTCCAGGTCAAGATTGAATTGAAGCTAGAGTAACGTCTTAGGCTCGGTTGGGAGGGGTTACAAGGAGGGCTGTTCATGCCCCGGGAGGAGAAACCAGGCCGTCGTGGACTCGGAGCCATCCAGGTGGGATGTTGAGAGCTCGGTTCTTTGCTCACGTTTTGTGGCCAGGCACTGTGCTGACTGTTTTACATACATCCTCTTGATGAATTACTGTAGGAGGCAGATATCATTAACCCCATTTTACAGATGATAAATCTCAGATTCAGCGGGAGCAGGGAACTTGCCTGAGCTCACAGCTGAGACCCATGTCCACGTGACTCCAAAGCCAGTGCTCCTAACTACCAAGCTATACCGCCCCTCCCTCCAGTCCTCCCTTGCTGGCTAGTGCCCCCCAGTGCAGGCTCTGCTCTCCCCTCTGAGCAGGTTGGGGGGGTCTGCTATCTCCCTCAGACGCGGCAGCTGGTGAAGGATGGCTTCCTGGTAGAAGTGTCAGAGAGCTCCCGGAAGCTGCGGCATGTCTTCCTCTTTACAGATGTCCTGCTGTGTGCCAAGCTGAAGAAAACCTCTGCGGGGTGAGTATGAGGAGTACAAAGCGGGGGTTGCGGGGGAGCCAGACCCTGCCCCTGTAGAGCCGTCAGCAACCTGGGGCAAATTGTGGGTTCTTTTCCTTTTTAAAACTATACTAATTAATTTTATTTTACTACATGGCCTTTTTCTAAAAAATAAACCATGTTTTTAATTATAAAGATAATATAAGGACATTACCAAAAAAAAAAAAAAAAAAAATCACCCAACCGAACATAAACATCAGTCTCCTGCTGCTGTATCGCCTTCCTTTTTAAAAAATGTTCTTGTGTTTTTTTCATACCGTTGTAATCAGAGTAAATGCCCAATTTGGGGCTCTGCTTTTTCTATTTCATGTCATAAGCATTTCCCTGTTGCAGCCTAATCTTTCTAATCATCATTTTACTTTCCTGCGTGATGTTACAAGTGGATATGCCATAATTTACTTAAGCATTCTTCCTTTATTAGACATCTCTGAATCTTTGCTAACTGCAATGCTGTGAATATTCATTAAATCTACTGCTGCCATGCATTGAGGGCTTATGCCACTCCAGGTGCCATGACAAATGCTTTGAATACATTATTTCTGATCTCAACAACTCCACAAAGTAGTTATTATTATCCCCATCTCACAGATGAGAGAAGATCCTTTGAGAAGGTAAATAAGTTGCCCAAGCTACAAGTGAAGGAGGTGGAATTTGAACCCCAGTCTAACCTGAAAGTTCCTTTCCACCTCTGTGTCTATACCCAATAATGTGGGTCTGCTGTGTACCATGGACAGAAAAGCTTATTCAGTCTTCATTCACACATCTTCCATCTATATTTACTAATCACCTGTAGTGTGCCGAGTTCACTACCCTACAGTACAGTGGGCAACAAGCTATGTGCTCATTGCTCACTAAGGGACCAGAATGAGAGGTGCAAATCTAAATCCTAGGGTAAGTCAGAGAAGGAGAGATCATTATGATGTCAATAAAGGGCATGACTCCCTGGAATTGAATTACGTTTGAAATAGTTCTAAAGCAGGGCTGCAATTATAAGCATGCATGCTTCTGACTTCAGTTCTTTACCCATGGCAGACATTAATAACCACAACACTCTTTCCTGCGAGGCTTGAATGTGACTTTATAATTCTCAACCTAGTGTTGACCCATGTACCCTCTATTGATAAGAGATGGCGTTCAGAACAACTTCTTTATTCCATCTCTAAGCTAAATTAGTAATTATTAATGATTTAAATAATTATTAAGAAATCCATCCTTTCTACTCAGTGGCACCTCATGCTATTCAAATTCCATTACTCCCAGCAACTCCAGCACCAAGATAAACCCTAAAAGAAGAGGGTGCCATCTTGAACCTCCTATACTAGCTGTTTAACTGCCCAAGAAAATGAGTATAATGACAGCAAATGCCTCCTATCTAAGTGTGGATAGGCTAGAAGGGAGGGAAGGGTATGGGATAGGGAATAGGAATATGTGAACCCAACCAGGAAGGCTTCATTCTTCCTGATACCCAAGAGGTTTGGGGCATTTAAAAACATCAGTCATACTGGGCCAGAAGATTGGTGAGAGGAAGGACCAGAACCCTCATTGCTGGCCAACCCTGGAATCCAACACCTATTATACCATGTGCATGTCTCCTGATCAAGCTCCTCAAGGGTGTGGATCATTCTTGCCTCTGACGAATACTCAGTAAATCACTCTCGGTGGATTTTTGGTCCTGGGCCCAGCAGTTCAGGCTTGAAGAGCTAACTTCCCTCCGGCTCATGCCTCCCTCTGGCTTGTTTGCAGGAAGCACCAGCAATATGACTGTAAGTGGTACATCCCCCTGGCCGACTTAGTGTTTCCATCCCCTGAGGAGTCTGAGGCCAGCCCCCAGGTGCACCCCTTCCCAGACCATGAGTTGGAGGACATGAAAATGAAGATCTCTGCTCTCAAGAGTGAAATCCAGAAGGAGGTAAGCAGAGCATGGCATTCCAGCCTGGGAATGTTCTTACTGGATACCTTTGAGCCGGGGGTACTGAGGAAGGTGGAGGGGAAGTTGTAAGGTTGGAGAGTTTGATAAGGAAGGGAGGATGAAATAGAAAGCCCTTGATGTGTACTATCTAAGGGGAAGACCCAGACTATAGTAGCTCTGAGCAGATAGAGTCATTGCTCAGAATTGAGTGGGGTTAGTTATGGAAAGTTTTCTAGAGAACAGTGTTTAATGAACACTATAGAAAAGGGAAGAAAAAGAAAAAAAAGAAGGCCTTCATAAGGGAAAGCAGGACCTATGTAAGAGGAAGGACCTGGAAGGCTTCCCAGAAACTGGCAAATCTAGTAGGCAAATAAATAAGGAGAGAGAAACTCTGAATACCACAACTAACAAACTTCATCTAAAAACACATAGAAGCTTGTGCCCTAACAAAGAACTGAGATTCTTGCCACACACACATGAAACATTCACAGACTTTTATCCTTTATTAGGCCACAAGGAAATCTCAAAATTTTTCAAAAACTTCATAGCATATAGGTCATGTCCACAAACCACAGTCAACAAATTTAGAACTCAACAATGAGAATATCAGTTAATTTTATGCTTGGAAATATAAAACTTATAAGGTAAGAGGAAATCAAAGTGAAAACAGCAAACTATTTAGAACTGCATGAAAATCACAGTTCTACATGTCAACACACATGGGATGTAGCCAAAACACCATTTAGAGAAAAATATATAGCCTTCATTTCTTTCTTTCTTTTCCTTTTTTTTTTTTTTTGAGTCAGGGGTCTCACTCTGTTGCCCAGGCTGGAGTGCAGTGGCACAAATATAGTTCACCGCAGACCTGACATTCTCGACTCAGATAGATCCTTCTATCTCAGTCTCCCAAAGTGCTGGGATTACAGGTGTGAACCACTGTGCCTGGGCCTATATTTGAAAACCGTGCTAGAGAAAAGCAACGCAGGAGGAACCATCTCAGTGAATGGAAGGAAGGTCATGGAGTGATTTGACTGGCCTGTTCTCTCCTCTCCTGTCCAGGCTCAGCTTAGGCTTCACCTCCTCTGGGAGGCCTTCTCTGACAGCCCGCCCCTTACCATCTGGGTTGGGTGCCCTGCTCCTAGTTCCTGATGTTCACCTCTGGTGTTGCTTTAATGGTATTAAGTTATAATTGCATGGTCAGCTTTTTCTCTTCCCCACTAGAATTTGAACTCCAGTGAGAGTGCAGTTTTCTTCAGTTCTGGGTCCCTAATACTTAGCACATAATAAATAAGTAAATGATTATTAAGGAATCCATGACCAGCTAGCCTGTAAGAATCCCTTCAACTCAAGCACCTCTCTCTGAATAGGGGAAAGGAAGGCCACAGTCATAACCCAGGGGTTTAGGGCAGGGAGAAGTCCTAGGCTTGAGGGTCTTACTGGGGGTACCTCTGCCCAGAGGGAGCTCCCAGCACAGGTGTCCTTCTCCTGAATGGCTGGGCCCCAGCCCACTTAAAGTGAGCCTATTTCCCTATTGGGCACTGTCTACCATCCCCACTCCGGAGGCAACCTGCATGCATGTTTCTCACCCAGTCCTGCAGGTCAGTGGACTTTGCACCCCGCTCCTGTCCCAGATGCACAGACATGATTTTCTGCTCAGACATGTCAACGCTTCCTGAGCTCCACTGGCTGCCACATGCCTCATGGAGGTCCTTGTCCAGGGGGGAAAGCAATGTGCCCGTTACTGACCGCAGAGCATGACACCTGTGATGAGAGTCACTGGAGAGGCACAGGTGTCGTCCTCTGAGTCACAGAGCAGCATTGATATGTTCTTTCAGTAATAATTTTGAAAACTAATTTTTTTTTAATCACCAAGGTAATACTGGCTTGTTATAACAAGAAATGTTCACAGTCCCAAGGGGTACAGAGTAAAAGTGGTTATTGCTCACCTCCCATTGTTAACAGTTTGGAGTGTGTTCTTCTAGACTCTTCTGTGCTTATACTGGTGTGTGTGTGTGTGTGTGTGTGTGTGTGTGTGTGTGTGTGTGTATGTGTGTGTATGTGTGTGAGAGAGATTTGTTTTAAAATAAGACTAGACTACATGTGCTGTTTTGCAACTTACAGCACACCTTACAGCTCTTTGGCTCTGTCAGATTCTTTTTAAAGCTCCAAATTATTCTGTTGCTTAACTGTGCACCAGTGTATCTGGATTTTTAGATTGTTTCTGATTCTTCACTCTTAGTAGGTAAGTCTCCAGTCAACACCACTGCACTCACATGTCTCTAGCAGATTCCCTACAAATGGGATGGCTGGGCAAAGGGTGTGTTTAACTGACAGATTTACCTCCAAGAAAGTTGTATCTGCTTACGTTCCCTGCAGCAGTGTGTGAGCATCACTGTTCCCCCACACTGTCGCAGCACTGGCTGTGAGCATTCGTTACAATTGCGCCAGTCTAGTGGGTTAAAAAATACTGCAGAGATTAACTATATCGGAGAAGCTTGAGGACCGCATTGGAACTGAGGCTTGCAGCATAATTGCGGCTAAGAAAAGGGTGGAAATCCTTTACAAGATAGACATAAACTGGGAAGATTGAAAAGGAAGGGTCCACCAGCAAAGAGTGAATGGCTTGTTAGAGAATGAGGCTGAGTGGGGGGCATGGTGGGTTGTCAGGCTGGGCTGCCACCCTCCCTCCACCCCACCTCGTGCCAGGCCAGCAGGGGGCGCTTTCTGCTGAAAGTTGTTTGAGGGGTTTTTTTGTTTTTTTTTTAGGGAGGGTGTCTCTATTACTCCTGGGACTTAATTTATAGAGTGATGACAGAGTGACAATATAGAGAGGCTGTTGCCACTGGAAGATTTTTGTTACTTATGGTTCCCAAAGAGGGAGGCACACCACCTCACACAGGGCCATGGGGGAAGCCCCGTTTGAAGAGGGCAGAAGGAAAGAAGGGAAAGCAGGGGCCACAGCTTTCTTGGGCTCTCTGTGGAGAAGCAAGGCAGGGCAGGGGAGAGAGCAGGAAGCGTGGCGGGCACAGTGGGTTGTCAGGCTGTGCAGGGAGGCCGGAACCCTGCCTTGGGGGGCCTGGGTGACAGGCCAGCAGGGGGCTAGACGGGCGAGCTTGACTAATGTTGTGGAGCTCTGAGCATCGAGGTGGTCTGTAGGCATCTGGTCCCTGGCTCTGGCTAATTTAGGGCAGAGAAATTACTGACTCGGTGGGTGAGAGAGATAAAGGAGGTGGTTGGGGGTGTGGGCTCTGGATTCATTGGTTTGCTGTGAAAGGTGTGTGCACAGGGATGTCATTCAGGAATTAGCCAGCCCTGGGAGGAGCAATGTCTCCTCACCTAGGTGGGAGCCCCCCCCCCAAGATGTCAAAACATCCTAAAATATAGAAAATTTTAAAACAGCCGTGTGCTGTGGCTCACATCTATAATCCCAGCACTGTGGGAGGCCAGGGCAGGCAGATTGCTTGAGCCCTGGCGGATTGCTTGAGCCAGGAGTTGAGACCAGCTTGGGCAACATAGTAAGACCTCGTTTGTACAAAAAAATTTAAAAATTAGCCGGGCATGGTCGTGTGTGCCAGTAGTCCCAGCTACTCAGGAGGTTGAGGCAGAAGGATCGCCTGAGCCCACAAGGTCAAGGCTACAGTGAGCCATGAGTGTGCTACTGTACCCCAGCCTGGGTGACAGAGTGAGACCCTGACTCCCCCCAAAAGAGAAGAAAGAAAAAAAAAAGCTTGAGCAATACACAGAGGAATGTTTTGCTTCGAGCAACTGAGAAGTGGAGTCTGAGTGTGAGGGAGTCCATCCCATCTGTGTCCTCCATCCCCTGCAGAAAGCCAATAAAGGGCAGAGCCGGGCCGTCGAGCGCCTGAAAAAGAAGATGTTTGAGAATGAGTTCTTGCTGCTACTCAATTCCCCCACAATCCCGTTTCGGATCCACAATCGGAATGGAAAGGTCAGGAAGGGTAGGGGTGGAAGATAGCCCCCTTCCTTAGTCCAAGGCTGCCTGCCCTCTGGCTCCTGGCCCTGATCTGTGGGACTAAGAAACTCAGGCCCCACTTCCCAGGGAGGCTGCCATGGCTCCAGCTCTGGACACCCTCTCCCCACCGTATGCAACCAGCACCCTCTGCTGGCCATCACTGCCACTGCCCCTCCAGGCTTCCCAGGAAGGAGCCCTCCCCACTCCCCCCACCCCAGCCGCCTCCTCCACGTTCAGGTGGGCCTGGATACGGAGGAGCATTGTTGGGGGCCCTGGGACCTGGGAATGTGCTTGGCCTGACTGGTCACCCACTGAATTCTCGTCTCCTCTCTTCAGAGCTACCTGTTCCTACTGTCCTCGGACTATGAGAGGTCAGAGTGGAGAGAAGCAATTCAGAAACTACAGAAGAAGGGTAAAGTCCTGCCTGGTCAGCCCTGCCCTGATGCCGTCCATGGCAATGATGGGCCTTCTGCATTTCCAAGCATTTTATGTCCAATGTCTCCTCTTCAACCCTCATGGTCACCCTAGAAGGTGCCGGGGAGGTGGCATTTAGTGCTGTTACTGATCAATTGAGACCCAGAGAATTTAAGTGATTAGCTTAAGACATGATGATTTAGTAATAGAACTGGACCCAGAGTCCACCCTGGGTTTCCCCCCACCACCCCTCTCTCTCTCACACTCACACATGAACCTCTTCTGTTGGATTCTCCTACTCTGCCCCCTTGACGACACCTACAACAGTCCCCGTGTGTCCACAAGTCCTTTCCTCCCTCCCAAGGACCAACTCTGTCCCCAAGAACTAAGCTGTCTTCCTCCAGTAGCCCCAAGAAAGAGCAGCAGGTCCTAGTAGACCACTGCTATGTTCCCTTCTCCCTTGGCTCTTTCTTCAGATCTCCAGGCCTTTGTCCTGAGCTCAGTGGAGCTCCAGGTGCTCACGGGATCCTGTTTCAAGCTTAGAACTGTACACAACATTCCTGTCACCAGCAATAAAGATGGTAAGATCTGGAATCCGAGATGCCCAAGCTGCAGGTCCCAGTCCCCGGGGCATCAGTGGCTTTCCTTAAGGACCCAGATAGACTTGTGGCTGCAAATGACTGATTCCCTGCTCCACCGTACTGGGACCATCCAGTTGCTAGGTCCACAGAGAACTGGAATAGGGGTTATTCCTTGCTGAGTCCCCAGATGGCCCCCACTCCTCCTCAGCCCCATCCTGGTGCACCAAGATTGGGTTGTTCCTATATTCGTGAGATAGTCCAGTAGTGGAAGCAAAAGATGGAGGCCGGCAGGGGAGGGAAGGGGGTAGATGGAGTATGTGAGAAATACAGAATCATAGATAAGAAATAAGGCTGGAAGTTTCCAGGGACCGGCTCTGGGAAGGCCTTGAACGCCAAGCAAGGGAGTTTGGAGTTCATGCTGTAAGCCCAGGAGCCTATGGAAGGCTTTTGCTCAGGGGAGAGCTGTGATCAGAGCTGGTGACTGGTCCACCCAGAGTGGATGGATTCTAACTGTCCTTGGTGCTAGGAAAAGGCCGCTCTGTGAAGGGGGTTTTGAAGGCAAGCTTTATTCATCATAGGGGGGCACCTGGGGAGCCCCGTGCGCCAAGCAGGAAGCAGAGAGGGCCTTCTCTCTTCCATCAGCACAGAGTGACATGATATTGGCACTTTTCACTTTGAAAGGCTAGACTGAGGAGGGCAGCCATGGGACAGGCAGAATTCAGACCAAGGGTGGAAAGTGCCCCTGGGGATTGGTACCAAGTCCAGGACAGTGGGTATGCTGGCCATGCAGGATGAGCAGAGCGAACCAGCACTTCCCCCGGTGCAGCGCATGTTGGAGGAAGTGGGTTTTGAGAACGTTTTTCATCCGACCACTAGGTGGTGCTGTGGGACCAAGGCACGGGCTAGTCTCACCGTCGGCCTCCTCACCAGCCTGGGGTGGAGGAGGGGGTAAGCCTCTCACTACCCCTATTCTGGGGGCTTTTCTCTCTTGCAGATGACGAGTCTCCAGGACTCTACGGCTTCCTTCATGTCATTGTCCACTCTGCAAAGGGGTTTAAGCAATCAGCCAGTAAGTGCCCCTGACCGCTGGCCCTAGGGAGGGGTTGGGGGGACCGTTGTTTATCCCTTCGCAGAAAGTTCCTATGCATACGCTGTTTACCTGCTCTGCTCTGGTCTGCCCAGCCTGGGGCCCTGCCAGCATGCCTTGAGATGTGAGACATTCCTCTGAAGGCCAGGACAGCTTATCTTGGCAGGGGGTCACCGCTACCTTCTGTCTCAAGGTCTACTCTCTCCCAAGTCCTCCCCCAAGGTGTCTGAAACTCCAGAGCTGGAAACATCTGGGACTCTGACCCCGTATCTGCCTGTGACAAGCTGTGTGACTTTGGGCAAGATTCTTAGCTGCTCTGAACCTCAGCTTTCCTCTCCATAAAAGGCAGGCACGCTTGTTAATACTGACCTGACAGCAGGCTTAGATATGACAGCACATGTGCGGCACCATTACACGGCCACACACATCTCTTTTTCTCCCCTTCTTTATCTTCATCTCCTAAGTCAGTAGGTCAGTGGCACTACAGATTCAGTAGAGGTTCTCTGTGTTTCACAAAATAGGGTTATACTTTTTTATCTGCTTTTTATCCACTCAGGAATGTGTGAACCAGTTAGGCAGCTAACAGTTTCTACCCACTTGCCAGATAAGAATCCTGAGTCACAGAGAAGTGAAAGGACTTCATGTCACACAGGATCAGAAACCCAGGGTTCCTGCCTCCCCTCCTCTCCACCCGCCCCTTCCCACCCCTTCGCCTCCTCTCTGGTAGGCGGGATCTGCCCTCGCCTCTCTCCCTGTGGCGTACCATGCAGGAGTCATGCCATTGACCCACAAAGAGCCATTGGATCAGCATTTCCTATGAAGCGTCCCCAAGTTCCTGGGGTGACTTGGCCTCCCTTCTTTGTGTCCCTGTCATGCTCGGGGCAATCAGGTTGTAGCACCTGTCATGGTGTTTTGTGCCTTATAATTTGCCTCTCCCACTGAGAGTACTTTGAGGGGAGGAACCAGGTCTCCTTTATCTGTGGATGAGTAGGAGCTCAAAAATGCTGAATGAAGTGGTTAATTTGCAGAGCGCCTACTGTGTACCTGGAGAAAACGAGAACACGCCAGCATGTAGACAGTGCCTTGGCATATTCAAAGTCTTTTGGGCTCATTATCTGCCCTGATCCTCTGGCATCCCTCTGAGGCCACTGATATCATCATCCCATTTCACAGACGTGGGGAAACAGGCTCAGAGGGCTCAAGAGACTTTCTCAGGGTCGCACAGGTAGTAGGTGGTGCAGGAGAATCCATGTCTTCCAAGAACCCACGCTTTCCTCTTTAGAGCATTTCTTCAAGTGGCCAGGACCACCACACTTGTCCCTTGGGCTGCTTGATAACGTGGAAGCTTCCTGAACCCTCCCCAAACCCATAGACTCCTCTTCCTGGGGGCTGCTGCCAGGAACCTTCCTGGTTCAGGGGCTCCAAGGGCTGTTGGGCACACCCAAGTCTATGGCCACACCCAGTGTCTCCTGCCTCCTGGAGCCCCATGTCTTGCCCCTCCTCGCTCCTGCTTTCTGCTGGCTGGGATGAACCTCGAGGAACAGGCCACTGAGGGGGAGCAGCTGTTCTGCCTCCCAAACTGGGTGGGTGGCTAGAAACAGGGGGAGCTGCTGTGAAGTCCCTGCTGGCCCCCATACTGTCTTCACCTCCTTCTTCCTGCCCCTTGCACCACTCAGATGTTCGTTCCAACTTGGGGATTAGGCTCCGTGAATCTTCAACTGTGGCTTTTTGTCCTAGTGAGCCCATTACAGCTGGATAGTCAGGCCCAACATGTAGGCACCATCATTATTCCTGTTCTACAGAAGCAAGAACTGAGGGAGAGAAGTGAGGTGATGTGTGCAGAGCCAGGACTTGAATCCAGACTGTCGGACTCCAAAGCCTCTGGCATTGTTCACCTACTAACCTCTGCTCACATTCCAGTGTGTTCTGATACCCACCTGGATCTCTCTCTCTCTTTTTTTTTTCTTTTGAGTCGGGCTCACTCTGTTGCCCAGGTTGGAGTGTAGTGGCATGATCATAGCTCACTGCAACCTGGGCTCAAGCAACCCTTCTGCCTTAGCCTGCCAAGTAAGCTAGCACTATAGGCACACACCACCACACTCAGCTAATTTTTTAATTTTTCTGTAGAGATGAGGTCTCACTATGTTGCCTAGGCTAGCTTCGAACTCCTGAGCTTAAGAGAACTTCTCGCCTCAGCCTCCCAAGATGCTGGGATTACAGGCATGAGCCACCACACCAAGCCTGGATCTATTTTATGTTGCACCCAGCTAGAGTGGGCAGCTCCACTCTCCTTCCCACAGGAAAGCCCTTCTGAGGGAGGACAGCCTAGCTGGGCAGCACCTGGAGCTGAGCAGAGCCATGCGTACACCCTCTGACCTCTGCTCCTTGCCCTCTCAACTCACGCCTCAAAGACACCCTACCACCTCCAGAACCCTGAGAGCAACCTTGGTAGCTCCCTTGGAGGCAGGAAAGCTGCTGGGTCTGAGCCCCTCAGGAACTGTGTGAAATGGCAGAGGGTCTGGAGTCAGCACCAGTGCCATGGCCTCAGCAGTTAGGTCCCAGGATGGAGAGGAGATTTTCAGCCCGAAGGCCATGGTTCAAGATAGAAGCACTAACAAAAGCCCCCTGTCCTCCCATCCCAACCCCCCACCACTGTTACCTGAAGCACTTGGGTGATGGTTTCATCCCACAAATACCGTGTGCCTCCTGTGGACCAAGCCCTGTTCTGGGTATTGAGGGTCCATGGGGGGGTGAGAAAGCCCAGGGCCTCTCCCCGCATGATATTTACACTGTGGTGGAGAGAGACATGGAACACGTAGACCACTGCACTTGAAGTGGCATGCTGTGAAGATAGCAACAGACTGAGCTTTGGGAACATGGGGCCTGGTTGGTCATCACAGTGATGGGTGCTACTCCAGGCACTCAGGACCCAGAAGCCAGGGCTGTTAAGCACCTGCAGTGCTTCTCGACCCACACACCCATGTTGCCCCTGCTGAGAGACCCTGGGATTGGGGTAGGGGGTGGGTCCTCAGTCAACGGGGTCTCGGAGATCTTGTGGTGAGGCCTCTGTGGTGAGGAGATAGCCAAGCAAAGATTGGAGATCTGGAGATGGCAGGTGCAAAGGCCCTGAGGTGGGAGCAGCAGCCAGGCACACCGGGCAGGGGGAGAAGGAAGCCAGTGTGGCTGGGTGTGCTGGGTTAGAAAGAGGCCGAGCCATCTTAAGAAGGGGGTGGAGAAATAGGAGGAGCCAGAAAGCACGGGGCTTGGGGAGCAGAGGGCCAAGGTGCCACCCTGCAGGGACAGAAGTCAGGTATGTTGTGCCCCTCCTTCCCAGGCCCCTCATCACCACCCGCCCTGCCCTGAACCCACTCCTGGGCCTCTGGTCCTCACTCGACATGTCCGTGCCTTTCTTTCTCCTGCAGACCTGTACTGTACCCTGGAGGTGGATTCCTTTGGCTATTTTGTCAGCAAAGCCAAAACCAGGGTGTTCCGGGACACGACAGAGCCCAAGTGGGATGAGGTGAGTGGAGGAGCTGCTGTCCAGGGACCCCTCACTTTTTCCCCGAGCGAGCCTCCCATACCCTGTGCTCATGACCTGTCTGCTGGGGATGTCCAAGCCTGTCGGTTGGACCAGCTCTGTCTAATCCCCTCTCCCCGACCCTCACTCATCTACCTTCTATTCCTTGTGTCGACCCATGTCAGACACTGTGGTTTCGATTCAGGAACCCCTCAGCTCCACATCGTCAGTGATGTGGAGGCCTCTGGGTGCTCCAAGAAATGCGGACGCTCCTTTGTATCTTGTGAGTCCCCATGAGCCCTGCTCACCCCCTGACCCTTGCGAAGTTGAGGCTCACACCTGGCAGGAAGCCAGGCCTCCCAGCTTCAGAGGTCCAAGACCCTCTGTCCCGTCTTTCCCCAGGAGTTCGAGATAGAACTGGAGGGCTCTCAGTCCCTGAGGATCCTGTGCTACGAGAAGTGCTACGACAAGACCAAGGTCAACAAGGACAACAATGAGATCGTGGACAAGATCATGGGCAAAGGGCAGATCCAGGTGAGGGTCCTGGGCAGCAAGGCAAGGCTTGGGGAGCTTCCAGGAGGTAATGCCCGCTGAGGAGTCCTCACTTGCTTTCCTGGCTGAGGTGCTTGGCCTTTTTTTTTTTTTTGAGTTGGAGTCTCACTCGGTCGCCCAGACTGGAGTGCAGTGGCCGCTCCCGGCCACCGCAGCCTCGACCTGCTGGGCTCCAGCGATCCTTCCGCCTCAGCCTTCCAAGTAGCCGGAATTACAGGCATGCGCTACCACACCCGGCTGATTTTTTTGATTTATTGTAGAGATGAGGCCTCACTGCCCAGGCGGGTCTCGAACCCGCGGACTCAGGCAATCCACTCACCTCAGCCTCCCAAAGGCACGGGATTACAGGCTGAGCCACCAAGCCCAGCTGTTTGCTTGGCCTTTTGTGACTTCAGTTCAAAGCTGCTTTGCGAAGAGTTACCTGAGGTGTGTATTCTCCTCTGCTAGAGATGGCTAGCCCATGTGTGCTTGTGTCCTCAGCTGTGTTATCCATACCTCTGGCAAGATGGACTGGAGGGATGGCAACAGCTAGCTTTGTTTTTGCATTTCATCTTTAGACTGTTGGTGGCTTTTTGCTGGAATACTGTGTTGAGAAGGATTCTGAGGCTGTGTCCATGAGAGAAGAGTGCTGTGGTCAATGAGCAACATCTGCCATTGGCATGAGATAGGAATAAGGCACACAGTCGGCATTTGCTGTTCTGCTAGAAGGGCTTAGGATCCAACTGGTTTACTGCGGCTGGTCTCTGACTTGCTGGAGTTGCTGGACCTTACTGACTTGTGCTGGGAGTCGTTGGCTTAGGGTGGGTTCTCTGGGTATTAGTAGAGGCAGGTCCTCTGTTGGGTTAAGAGCATATGTGTCTCAGCTGTGTTTTTTGGTTCCCTATAAATGTATGTAGGAAAAAAAGATCCCTGTTTGCAGCCTGTGTCTCGGGAACATTCTACCAGTTTTGAGGATGACTGCTATTCACTTGTCAAGATAACCAGGCTTGGGCGGGGGGGACAGGGGTGAGGTGCGATGGTGACATCCAGCTTGGAGCCATCTACACTCCTGCCTGGCATCCTGTGTGGCCTCATGCCTGTGACACAAATGGTCTGGTTTGAGGTAGATTCTGTGATGTGAGATCAAAGGAAACAGTAAGTGGTGCATACTGAGATTGAGCCATGGCTGTTGGGTGCTCTGGGCTTCTGAACGATTGCCCTGGATATGGTCTGGATGCTGACTGCCACAGTTCCATCCAAAACGGAGCAGAACGATGCCCTTTCCCGGGATGTGTTTGCTCTCTGATGCACTGTGGAGGCTACAGAGTTTGGCATCTGGTTCTTAACTGGGTGTCCTTGGTGGCCTTGTCCCTTGGGGGCCCATGTGGGTCTCCCACTACCCTCTCCTGTCTCAGGCTCCAGTGTTTCAGCGGGGGGATGGCACCATTTGGGGGGGTCCGACCATCTGCCTCATGTCGCCCCATGTCCCCGAGCCCATCTCTTCCTGATGCTGTGGGACATGCACTTCGCTTGGCAGCACTGTCGCCGGGGAAACGGTGCTGCCAGGGGAAACGGTGCTGCCAGGCAACCGCAAGCCAGTCCTTCATTCTTTAGGAAAATGGGGGCTGGTGCCAGAGCACTCTAAATTCATTCCCGGGAACCTGTTCTCTGCAGGGATAATGGGTGGGACTCCATCTCCATGTCCCAAGGCTAGGCCAGTCCCAGGAGACACTCAGCCAAGAGGCACGGGCGGCTACCATGCCCTGGGCCGTTGATGGCTTTGGAATGGAAGTCAAAAGGGCATCTGGGTAGCCAGCTCAGTGGACACTGTGGACCCAGCTCCTAGAGAACTCAGCTCCCAGGGCCCGAAGGCAGCACTCTCCCCACCTGGACTTCGGTCCTTCCGCTCCCCTCCTCCTCAACTGCACAAGCCCCAGGGGAAGCACACCATAAATCATTACATCTTAGAGACAGGAGCAGATGGAGGCTGTGGGGGAAGGGGAGGAAGCCAGGTTATGTTTGGCAGAGCAGAAAGCACAGTCTGGTAAGGAAAATGTTTCTGTGTTTAAGCTTCGAGGAATGTTAAATGCCTGGGAGTTGATATTAAAAGAAACACAAACCTTCCCGCTGCCAGCTGACCTGGGCCTGTGAGCGGGCAGCTCTAGCCAGAGTCCTCTGGAGGCCTTTGAAGTCTCCCAGCACTCAGCTCTCCAAGCACAGCCCTTGACCCTCAGCTGCAGAGCCTTCTTACCAGCCTTCCAACGGGGGGAAAGGGGTGTCCCCCCAGGGCTGTGCCGTAGCTCATAAAGTGTTGCCCTGGGACTGCTCTTGGAGCCACTGCAGATGGCCAGGCTGGGTGGAGAGTCTGCACCGAGCCATTCCCACATGGCCAGGCCCCACAGAACCATGGAACGGTCTGTCCCCACAGCTTGTTCCCGCCTCCCTTTCTGCCACGTGTCTAAGGAAGGGAACTGGCACCAGCCTCTGGAACTCGGTCCTGCTCCCCTTCAGCAAGTGCTGAGGATGGAGCTAAAGGTGGCCTCGAGATAGGCCAAGTCCTGGAGGATGTCGGGTGGCCTGAAGCAAAAGCGGGGTGGGGGGAAGAAGGCCCACCTCTATTGCCCCCCAAGCCCTCTCGCATGCAGCCCACCCAAGGAACTGTGAAGGAACCCCATCGCCCAAGCTCCAGATGTTTGCTCCTGTGATGAGTTCCCCTTTCTGGGTTTGTCTGATGTGGAAGTGGGGCAGGGAATCTGGAACAGGAGGCTTTAGTGACAGGCAAATGGCAGCACTAATCACCAACATGTGTGCCTGGCACTTGTGTTCTTGGAGGCTCATTCTCAGATACTATCTCATGTGATCCCCGTACTAGCTCTGCAAGGAAGATGGCAGTCGTATCCCCTCCTTTACAGATGAGCGCACCGAGGCACTGAGGTTTAGTACCTTGGCCGAGGTGGGCGGGGAAAACCTCGCTCTCTCCTCTGCATAGCATCCTCACATCTCAGGCCTTCAAGAAATTGCCCAGCCTAAGTGAGGGGCCTTGGCATGGCTAGTGGCCTGGAGAAGGGGCTGGGTGACGTTCCACCCCAGGATCCTGCTTTATGGCACAAGGTGAGCCTAAGGCTTCCTTTGTCTTGTAATCCTCTTACCTCTAGGCAGGACGTTTCTGCCCTGGTGCTCCTGGGAGGAAGGAAATTGAGCATTCATGGAAAAGAGCTGGGTGGGGGGGGGAGGTACCTTTTATGCATCCACAAGGTGCCCAGCATGGGGCTGGGGCTCTGAGAGGGTGAGATTTTACAAATCACAGCATAGCCCCCCCTGGGGGGAGCATGACACAACACCCCCCTCCCCTCTCCCCATCCATAGGAAGGCAGGTAAGATGGCTGGGCAGCCAAGGGCAGTGCCTTGGAGAGCTGAGTGCAGGGAAAGGTGTGCAAGTATACTGATGAATACCCATAACAATAGCAATGGTCACACCATAGAGCTTGGAATGGGCCTGGCACTGTGCTAAATGCTTACATCTGCCGCCCCAGAGATTTTCATGGGACCCTGTGGGGTAGGAATGTCGTCACTGTCATAAAGATGAGAGAGCAGGGGCACCAAGCTTTCCAACCTGTCCAAGGCCACACAGCCGGGACTTGAGCCAGGGCTGGCAGCTGGCCCCAGAGCCCACCTCCAGATGCGCTGCTGCCTCCCACTGCTCTGTAAGTAGCAAGACAGAAAATCATGCCGCAGGAATTCAAAGAAGGAAAGGTCCCCATGCTCTGGAATTAGGGAGGCTTCAAGGAGGTGGGGCCGGAGGGATTTAGAAGCACTGGGTCTTTTAATTCCCAAAGCATTGTTTATATTGGGAAGAAAATCACAATAATAGTAAAGAGACCTGAAACAATCACAAACCATCCCTACTCCCACTCCCTTGAAACAGCCATTTTATTCTGTGCCATTTCCTGCCTCAGGTATATAAATATGTATGTAGTTTTAATCATAGTGTGTATGTATTTTCATGACCCTCCTGCTTTCTAGGGCGGTACACAGTCTTTATAAGTACCTCTTCTAATGCGTTGTCAAAAGTACTCTCTGTGCTTTAGAGAAATCATTTTGTGTCATGGCCAGCACAGTCACTGCTGTTGTAAGGCTCTGTGTTATTATAGCAAGGTGAGCATGCTCTGGGTCAGCAGAAAGAGTGGGGTGGGCGTCTGGGGGGAACACAGGGAGGCAAGCGTGTCCTGGGAGATTGAGGAGCCAGGCCTGCCTAAGGACGGAGGGGTCTGGAAACAACAAAAGAGGAAGATTGAAGGAATGAATAAAAGGATTTGTGGGGTTTTGGGCCAGAAGGAATCCTAGAGGGCATTTAATCCAATTCTGTTTGGGGGGTAAGAAGGAAACTGAGACCAGAAAGGGTGAGTGACGCAGCCCAGGTGGGTGAGCAAAGGCTCCAAACTCAGGGACCCCACCTCAGGTTGGGCAAATGAATAGATGGGAATGCTCATAGACGTGGGGCAGGCACAGGCTTGGATGTCAGCCTGTGACTCTCAGGGGTCTGTCCTTGGTCACTGTGGAGCTAGTGGAATACCTCACCAGCTTGGCCCATGTCCTATATTCCAGACTCAGTAGACCTTTCCTTTTTTCCTACCTAAGGGGCCATTATCTCTGGATTTTTTTTTTTTTTTTGAGTTGGAGTCTCACTGTCGCCCAGACTGGAGTGCAGTGGCCACTCCCGGCCACCGCAGCCTCGACCTGCTGGGCTCCGGCGATCCTTCCGCCTCAGCCTTCCAAGTAGCTGGAACTACAGGCACGCGCTACCACGCCTGACTAATTTTTTTTATTTTATTGTAGAGATGAGGTCTCGCCTGCCCAGGTAGGTCTCGAACCCGCGGACTCAGGCAATCCACTCACCTCAGCCTCCCAAAGGCGCGGGATTACAGGCTGAGCCACCGAGCCCAACTCATCTCTGGATTCTTGATCCAGGCCACCCCACTGTCCTTACTGCCCTACCCTCATCC